GGGGCAAAAGGGTAACAAGGGTAAAACAAGGGGTAACAAGGGTAACAAAAGGTAACAAGGGTAAATAAGGGTAACAAGGGTAAATAAGGCAATAAGGGTAACAAGGGGTAACAAGGGTAACAAGGGTAACAAAGGTAACAAGGGTAACAAAGGGTAACAAGGGTAAAAAGGGTAACAAAAAGTAAACAAGGGGTAACAAGGGTAACAAGGGGTAACAAGGGTAACAAAGGCAATAAGGGGTAACAAGGGTAAAAAGGGTAATAAGGGTAACAAGGGTAAATAAGGGGTAACAAGGGTAACAAGGGCAACAAGGGTAACAAGGGTAACAAAGGGTAATAAGGGGTAACAATAAGGGTAAATAAGGGTAACAAGGGTAACAAGGGTAATAAAGGGTAACAAGGGGTAACAATGGTAACAAGGGTAACAAGGGTAACAAGAGGTAACACGGGGTAACAAAGGTAACAAGGGTAACAAGGGTAACAAGGGGTAACAATGGTAAAAAGAGGTAACAAAGGCAACAAGGAGTAATACGGGGTAACAAAGGGGAACAAGGGTAACAAGGGTAAGAAGGGCTACCAAGGGGTAACAACGGTAACAAGGGGTAACAAGGGTAACAAGGGGTAACAAGGGTGGTGACAAAGGTAACAAAGGGGTAACAAGGGTAACAAAAACAAGGGTAACAAGGGTAACAAGGGGTAACAAGGGTAACAAGGGGTAAAAGGGTAACAAGGGTAAAAAGGGTAACAAGGGGTAAATAAGGGTAACAAGGGTAACAAGGGTAACAAGGGTAACAAGGGGGTAACAAGGGGTAACAAAGGGTAACAAAGGGTAAAAACAGGGTAACAAGGGTAACAAGGGTAACAAGGGGTAACAAGGGTAACAAGGGGTAACAAGGGGTAACAAGGGTAACAAGGGTAACAAGGGGTAACAAGGGTAACAAGGGGTAACAAGGGTAACAAGGGTAACAAGGGGTAAAAGGGGTAACAAGGGTAACAAGGGTAACAAGGGGTAACAAGGGTAACAAGGGTAACAAAGGTAACAAGGGGTAACAAGGGTAACAAGGGTAACAAGGGTAACAAGGGTAACAAGGGGTAACAAGGGTAACAAGGGTAACAAGGGGTAACAGGGGTAACAAGGGGTAACAAAGGGTAACAAAACAAAAGGTAACAAGGGGGTAAGAAGGGTAAGAAGGGGTAACAAGGGTAACAAGGGTAACAAGGGGTAACAAGGGTAACAAGGGGTAACAAGGGTAACAAGGGTAAAAGGGTAACAAGGGTAACAAGGGTAACAAGGGTAACAAGGGGTAACAAGGGTAACAAGGGTAAAAAGGGGTAACAAGGGGTAACAGGGGTAACAAGGGGTAACAAGGGTAACAAGGGTAACAAGGGGTAACAAGGGTAACAAGGGTAACAAGGCAATAAGGGTAACAAGGCAACAAGGGGTAACAAGGGGTAACAAAAGGGTAACAAGGGTAACAAGGGTAACAAAGGGTAACAAAGGGGTAATAAGGGTAACAAGGGTAACAAAGGGTAACAAGGGCAACAAGGGTAACAAAAGGGTAACAAGGGGTAACAAAGGTAACAAGGGGTAACAAGGGGGGTAACAAAGGGTAACAAGGGTAACAAGGGTAACAAGGGCAAGGGTAGGTAACAAGGGGGTAACAAGGGGTAACAAGGGGTAACAAGGGGTAACAAGGGGAAAAAAGGGTAACAAGGGTAACAAGGGGTAAAAAGGGTAACAAGGGTAACAAGGGGTAACAAGGGTAACAAGGGGTAACAAGGGGTAACAAGGGTAACAAGGGTAACAAAGGGTAACAAGGGTAACAAAGGGGTAACAAGGTAACAAGGGTAACAAGGGTAAACAAGGGTAACAAAAGGGTAACAAGGGTAACAAAGGGGTAACAAGGTAAACAAGGTAACAAGGGTAACAAGGGTAACAAGGGGTAACAAGGCAACAAGGGTAACAAGGGTAACAAGGGGTAACAAAAAGGTAACAAAGGTAACAAGGGTAACAAGGGATAACAAGGGCAACAAAGGTAACAAGGGGTAACAAAGGGTTACAAGGGTAACAAGGGTAACAAGGGTAACACGGGGTAACAAGGGTAACCCGGGGTAACAAGGATAAGAAAGGGTGACAAGGGTAACAAAGGGTAACAAAAATAAAAAGGGGTAAAAAGTGTAACAAGGGGTAAAAGGGTAACAAAAGGTAACAAGGGGTAACAAGAGTAACAAGGGGTAACAAGGGGTAACAAGGGTATCAACGGGTAACAAGGCTAACAAGGGGTAACAGGGGTAACAAGGGGTAAGAAATGTAAGAAGGGGTAAAAAGGGTAACAAGGGCAACAAGGGGTAACAAGGGTAAAAAAGGGTAACAAGGGGTAACAAGGGTAACAAGGGTAACAAGGGTAAAAAGGGGTAACAAGGGTAACAAGGGGTAACAAGGGGTAACAAGGGTAACAAGGGGTAACAAGGGTAACAAGGGCAACAAGGGTAACAAGGGTAACAAGGGTAAAAAGGGGTAACAAGGGTAACAAGGGTAACAAGGGTAACAAGGGTAACAAGGGTAACAAGGGTAACAAGGGAAAACAAGGGTAACAAGGGGTAACAAGGGTAACAAGGGTAACAAGGGTAACAAGGGTAACAAGGGTAACAAGGGTAACAAGGGGTAACAAGGGTAACAAGGGGTAACAAGGGTAACAAGGGGTAACAAGGGTAACAAGGGGTAACAAGGGTAAAAAGGGGTAACAAGGGTAACAAGGGTAACAAGAGTAACAAAAGTAACAAGGGGGTAACAAGGGTAACAAAAAACAAGGTAACAAAAGTAACAAAAGGTAACAAGGGTAACAAGGGTAACAAGGGTAACAAGGGTAACAAGGGTAACAAAGGGTAACAAGGGGTAACAAGGGTAACAAAGGGGTAACAAAGGTAAGGGTAACAAGGGTAACAAGGGTAACAAGGGTAACAAGGGTAACAAGGGGCAACAAGGGGTAACAAGGGGTAACAAGGGTAACAAGGGTAACAAGGGGTAACAAGGGGTAACAAGGGTAACAAGGGGTAACAAGGGTAACAAGGGGTAACAAGGGTAACAAGGGTAACAAGGGTAACAAGGGTAACAAGGGTAACAAGGGTAACAAGGGTAACAAGGGTAACAAGGGTAACAAGGGGTAACAAGGGTAACAAGGGGTAACAAGGGGTAACAAGGGTAACAAAGAGTAACAAGGGGTAACAAGGGGTAACAAGGGTAACAAGGGGTAACAAGGGTAACAAAAGGGTAACAGGGTAAGGGGGTAACAAGGGGTAACAAGGGTAACAAGGGGTAACAAGGGTAACAAGGGGTAACAAGGGGTAACAAAGGGGTAACAAGGGGTAACAAGGGGTAACAAGGGTGTAACAAGGGTAACAAGGGGTAACAAGGGTAACAAGGGGTAACAAGGGGTAACAAGGGTAACAAGGGGTAACAAGGGGTAACAAGGGGAAACAAGGGTAACAAGGGGTAACAAGGGTAACAAGGGTAACAGGGGGTAACAAGGGTAACAAGGGGTAACAAGGGTAACAGGAGGTAACAAGGGGTAACAAGGGTAAGAAGGGGTGAGAAGGGGGAACAAAGGGTAACAAGGGGTAACAAGGGGTAACAAAGGGGGAACAAGGGGTAACAAGGGGCAAGAAGGGGTAAAAAAGAAGAACAAGGGGAAGAAGGAGAACGAGGGGAAACAGGAGGGAGCTAGGGGGAAGAAGGGGAACAAGCTATAACAATTTGGAACAACGGGAATAAGGGAAACAAGGGGTAACAAGGGAAAAGAAGGGGTAAGAAGGGGAACGAGGGGGAACAAGAGGGAACAAGGGAGAACAAAGGGGTAACAAGGGGGAACAAAGGATAGGAGGGGGAACAGGGGAACAAAGGGTAACAGGGGGTAACTAGGGCGAACAAAGGGTAATAACGGGAACAAGGGGGAACAAGGGGAATAGGGGCGTAACAGGAACAAGGGGAACAAGAAGGGGGAATAGTTGTGCAAGGGAAACAGATCGAACTAGGGGAATGAGAGGAATCAGGGGAACAGGGGTAAGAAGGGGATTAGAGAGTTCAGGGGAACAAGGGGAACAGGGGATGAAGGGAAACAGGAGAACTCGGGAAACAGGGAAACAGGGGAAGAAGGGGAACAGGGTTAACAGGTGGAACAGGGGAGGAAGGGGAAAAGGGGCGATGAGGGGAACAAGGGGGAACAGGGGAGAAGGGGGAAGTCATTATCTGGCTAAATCAGAACCATGCAACAGAAACTCTGGAAAGATGTTCGCCATTATTTTGAAGACATTTCCAATTTTTCTTGTCATGCTTGGACATTTTTGTTTAAAACTGCCCAAAATGTTGTTTATAAGTTGAGAACTAAAGTACCGTTTATTCGTGAAAAAAATAAATTCTAGTCTCAAAAGTCTCAGATTATAGCCTTGAAGATTTTGACTGCATTGCACAGACTTCATCAGCAATAAACTCTTAGTGTTGTCAGGGCATTTGCCAGGCTTTATGTTGATGTTTACCATAAATAAAATTCTAAATCCCATGAGTGATTGCTTACCTCTCCACCATGTCGTGCTGATGTTATAAGACTAAGGTCTGGTGGATAAGCACCTATAAAATGCAAAACAATGACAATTTCTCAGGTATTCTTAAGGGTCACTTAGAACATAAATAAGTAATCAAGAAATGGAAATCTCTCATACTGGTAATAAATCTTTATCACAAACATATTACCGTGAATCTCACAAAACCATGAACACAAGCAAAAGCCAATCAGACTAAACCACGATCATAGTAATAAGTTTTTGGTTTTGAAGCTGCTCGCATGTCCTGAACTTTATTGTGATTTGCCACTACACAACCAAATCCTGAAATATCTTAGGTGTTCACAGTTTTCTGAGTTAAACAGTAGTGGAATTTGTTTGGAATAACTTTCAACTGTTGATCGCTGAACACAGTTTTGCAGGGGGTCAGCTGTAACTTGTGTGACGGTGCGTGTTCTAAATCAGACAAACAATTATGGCGGAGAATAATGGACAGGTACACGGGAGACGATTTCTCAAATCTAGTTATTAAAATTTTGTGATATTTGGCAGAATTTTTACTTTGATATATTTTAAATAATGAGAACTTTAAAATGGAAGTTGAACAGACGAATTTTGTGACACATTTAATAATTACAGTATAATTATATTATTGATTATCTAAAAACCCGTCTGTTAAAATTTGGTCAAATAAGTTTCAAATGGTAGTGAATAATTAAAGTAAGCTGTGTGCAAGTTTATGGCAAAATCCAATGAGAGAATTTTATGTAAACTGAGCAAAAGTGAAATTTTAAGGCTGTATTCGATCGTTAATGTTGCCATGGACACTATGAAAATATCACATTTTACCAGTCAATCAAAATCTTTCATCAGTATATTTTTCAATTGCTAAGTTTCAGCTTGTGAGCTTGCTATGATTTGGTAAATGACATATACTCACAAACTGCCAAAACTGTGTTCAGCCACCTTGAAGTTCATATTTCTTACCCGCATTTGCAGCTCTGGCAGCTTGTTCATTTGGATATGGCTTAGGAAAATGATCTGATAGCTAAAAATGCAAAAGAGGTAATTATTAACAGAGAATAGCCACACAAGTGAATATACACTCATGTGAAATCTCACATAAGTGAACCATGGAATGGAGATCATCATGCAGTTATGAGAAAACGCCTGAAAAAATTTAGGCCTGCGAGGATTGGAACCCTGAGCTCTGTGATGCCGTTCACCATTCACTTCACTTAAGTCTTTCATGGGTATACCATGAACCAATTTAATGACCAGCTCTCAGATGGCTTGCTATAACCAGTTGCAAAAATGTTGAGACACTCCCACGAAAAAACGGCCTTTTTTGCTTCAAATCGCTCCTGGTCACAGGTCTGTGAGATATAATACTGACCTCCCTCCTCCCTCCCATTCAAAGTTGTTCCTCCAAGTTTTGAGTATGGTCTTGTATTGCTAGCAACTTTGATAAGGGGTAGAGGGGGGATCACAAGCACAAGATCATGGACAGGCCATTTATGCCAAAATACGGTACAGTGTCTCAAGTACTTTTGCAACTGGTTGTACCTCAACAAAAAGAAATGTTAGTTAGAGCACTGCACTGGTATCCCAGTTGTCAGGGTTCGAATCCAGGAAAGCCTAAATCTTTTCAAGCTCTCTTTTTGCAACTGCATAAGCTGTGTCTTTAACTGCAATGATCCTCTCTACATTTAATGGTGACACAGTTCACAAAGTATCACATTCTGGTGTTTTTTTCTCACCTTCCCTGGTCTGGTAAACATGTTTCCATCATCATCTGGTCCATCTTCAACCTGAGCCTGTCGGTGAAGAAATATGATAATAGTACCAGTAAATAAATTGGAAAATAATAATAATAAAGCGTTTATGACATCTATCCAAAAAGTTCTGCACCATTAATGGGTAAGTGATAAATAAAATTAGCAAAAACTAGGAAAGTAAACAAGTGACCTATTTCTGCTAATGAATATTTTACAAAGATTTAACTGTACCAGTTTCTATTTGACAAAACAAGACTTGTATTTATACCAGAGTCAAAGTAGATTCTTGTCATCGCTGCTGGCCACCATGGGCCAAAAAAAAGAGGAGAGGTAAAAGGCAGCAGTAGCTAAAGCCAAAATTAAACAGTGTTTTTGGTATTGTTAATTGCAATGGGAGATGCAAAATGAAAGCATACCAGGTGATTACACTGTAACGTTAATAATAATAATAGTAATAATAATAATAATAATAGTAATTAAAGCTATATTTATACCGGAGATATCTATCAGCATTATACAATGCTGGTCTTTACAAGATGTCCAGTAAATAAAATTTATAATAATATTATTCTAAATTACATTTCAAAGACGCTAAAAACTGCTAAGATAAGACTACTAAAAACCGTTAATTTAAGAACTACTGAAAACTAATAAAAAATATTAAGAACCACTAAAAACTATTAAAAACACTAAAAAAATCCAACTAGTTACACTGTACATTTATGATTACTAATGTCACTGTCTCTCAGTTGTTTAAAAATATTAAATTTAAAAGAGCCTATACTAGTTGTTTTAATAAGTTCTGTAGGGAGTGAGTTCCAGTCACTTGTACCAGCAATTTAGAAAGTCTTTCTCCCTGAAGAAGTAGTAGATTATGGTATGTCGAGAGTGCCTTGGTTCCGCAGATTTCTGTTTTGGGGCTCAGACCTACTAGTTATGTAACCCTCTAGTTGCTTAAGGCAGTGTTGGTTGTTTACAATCTTAAAAATAAAATCAAATTTGAGGAATCGTCTCCTATTGTACAGTGTTAACAGCCCTAGAGTGTTCCTCACATATTGTGTGCAGGTGGTTCTGTTGGCCCTCAACAACTTTGGGTAACAAGCGCCATGTGCACACCTAAATTGTTAATTTTCTAGCAAACATGTCCAGCCAACAAACCTTCTTCTACAAAACAAATTAGCACATCTTTTTTACAAGACATAAGTATCTCACAAACCCTTGTAAAACGTGGGTTGTTTACCATTTACAAAATGTTTCCAGAAAATCTGGTTGGACAGTAAAAGGAACAGAACTTTTCAGGTCATTCTGGTGGAAATTTTAAGGAAGCAATGACATTTCTGAAAATGTAGTCCTGTTTTTCTCGACAAAAAATTTACAATTAATGAATGAGGCTGAGTATCTCATGAAGAATCATGGAGATCAAGGAGGGTGTTATCCATCGAGGTTATAGGCCGAGGTGAATAACACCCTCTGAGATCTCCATAATTCTTTATAAGATACGAAAGCTGAATTCAATGATATTATTGTTTCATTATTCATTCAAAATAATTCCTAGTTTAAAAACATAGCTGAAACATGCGTACCTCCATCGATGTTAAGTTCATCTTCGATAGTGCATGTTCAGGGTTGTTCAGCTCTGCAAATATTCTTCAAATAGCAGATGTCGTGGTTCGAGCTGTCTTCTTACTGTTCTTGCCATGTTTTTAGCTATCATTTTGCCTAGTTCTTACTCTTGAAATGAGTGAAATGTCCGCCATTTTTGTTTTCACAACCAAAACAACTCAACCTAGTCCCCAGGTCTTCTCGGTTAAAGGTGTATTAACCTGTAAGGAAGCTGCACTATTGACGTCATCGGTTGATTAATCGCAAAATTCTTCCAAATTTGGTCATCAGTAGCTGGTTCTAGTGAAAATGCGCGTGCTTTTAGCCAATCAGAATTGGGGAAATATTTTGTATGAATAATAACATACGCATACAAGCCAGAAAGGGGTTGTTTATACAAATGAGTAATGCATCATTACCTCAGCAGCTATAGCTTTCATTTCATCTTCTGTGTATGCCACATTCACAAGATGGCGATATGCTAATTGGTCCATAGAATGGCAGGCTGCACAGACTTGTCTGTAAACTTCATAGCCTCGACGAATGCTTCAAGGAAAATGGCAAATTTTAGGATCAATCAAGAACATGAATCTCGAAGAGGTGTGTAGAATAACCCGGGGCGACACTTGATGAAGCATCAAATTCTCCTTTTTTTCACAAGAAAATAAAAGGCAATTCAAAACAAGAATGGAAGCTAGCAAATTATCAAAAGTTGATGAGGGCTAAGCACTTGCAGGGTGTTTCAAACTATGTTTAATCTTGATCACCGGGACAATTTTCACCAAAACTGCATATTTTGTCCAATGTTCCAAATTTTCTCAAACAAACAAAAAAAAAACAACAACAACAACAAAAAACAGACAATTAGGATTTTCACTGCTATTAGTAAGGAAATTACCCATTAGAATATGATAACATGGGATTACTTACGCCGCATGATCCAGTGAACTAAACGCACCCTTATGAGCCCAGGGAAAATGCGGAGGATGGAGTTCCAGCTCATTAGCATTAACACTTGGCTGAAGTAAGTATCCTGTTGCAAGACCTCCTGCAGCAAGCGTGCCAAGTGCAAACCACATCTGTCAGAGAAAGTATAGACAAATCTTCACTGACACCCCAGTTTATGTTTTGCTTCTTCAGGTCCCAATTTTTACAGAAATGTTATGGTGCTAAAAATGAATGGACAATAATTCTTCCTCTCCCCAGTGATAGTAAAATATAACATGGAAAAAAGCCTCAAGATAACGAAACCTTGTTATAGCCCTTCATTAAAAGGTCCCCTGTGCTGGTTTGCACAGGGTTTGTACAGATTGCTGGATCCAATATTCAAGACTTTTTCCAGATTTTACTCCAAAACAATAATTTCTTTTTCAGACTCAAGGTTATCAAATAGATGATCAATAGAGACATTAAAAAATGCAGGAACAAAGCTTTTCGCAAGGTGTGCTGCAAACACATGGGCGAGATTGAATAAGATTTGACCAAAACAGAAAACATTTCACTTCTAAAGCACTTGTAGCTTTAAAATAAACTGAAGACTTTTTACCACTTTTCCAGACTTTATCCTTTGGGAGTTTTAAATTTAGCTATGAGATATAAGAGCTGTTATGCACTTATCTAGTGTCCCTTCACACTCCTAAATCATATTTCAATATCGCTATACAGGGAACTTACTATCACCAAAGGAGGAGAACCAAACCTTCATCATAATGACTAAATCTAAAGCTCAGTCCTTGAACATATTGAATAATTTATTATTAGAACAAAATTTGTTTAGTAAACTTGACTCAATGAAAAAAGGGTAAAAAATTATTCTAAAACAGACCTTTTTCACAATTGTTCATTTAAAATATAAGCTTTGTATTCTTATATAAAGTTTCTTTGGACAATTATCTTTATAAAAATTGAAAGGAAATAAACTGAACTAAAGAAAAAAGCCAAAAAAACTCACACTTCGTTTACTCTTTGCTCCCTCTGCTGTTGCCGCAGTAGCTAGCCTGGTCTGGGTCTAAATTAGTGATTAAGAAACATACAATAAGCCATCCTGTTTTCCTCAAGGAGGGATGTTAAACTGGAAATGGAAATTCTTATTATGCAAATCATGGGTAACAGTAACACACATTAATTTATTTGAAGGAAAAAAAAGGTCATGTATAAAAGAGTACAGTGTGTTCTTTTTCTCTAAGTAAATTTATTTGAACAAAGTGAATGGATATGTTACAGGCACAAACACTGACAAACGTTTCAAGTTTGACATAGATATTTCTGAAAAATTTCTTTCAAACTATAGGCCACTTGCACTAAGAGGTCACGTGACCAATGCTTCCTTTAAACAATGAGTTGGAATCTTGCTGATACCAAAAATTGACAGAGCACATAAAAATTAGCTTACACCCGAAGTTTGAGAGGAAACGCATTTAAGGGAGCTATTTTATAGCACTTTGATTTTTTAACAAAGTAGTATGATTTGTATGGGCCGCCATGTTGGAGGGCATACTCTTGCCCTCCAATATGGCGGCCAAAACTACTTTTTGCTTATATCTTGTTAAATGTTTGATAGTTACGCTCAGATTTGCTGTAAACGTTACTACGTCATTTTTTCAACATCCCCCTTGAAGTTTAAGTGGAAAGCTTGTGTTCAGAAAGAAGATATTCTTAATTTTAAAAAAGGAACTTACTCATTTTAAGAAAATGGTGCGGGTTTGAAAAACTAAATCGCTATTATTTTGTTTAAGATATGACCCACTAATCGTTTTTCAAAGGCAAAATCATATCACTTTCATTTTCATGAAAACTATGTCGCATGACCTCTTAGTGCAAATGGCCTATTGCCTGTGGTTGCCTATACCTTAGAAAGTGAAGGTCTTTTCCTTTGCGTTCAACAGTCAGTTTTCCATCAGACGGGGATTGTTCATAATTCTGGTGTATTTAACACAAAAGCCTGGAAATTTCCTGTGATATTGCCCATTCAACCCTGATCAACTGACAGTTTAAAAACAATTTTCAGCAGTCCAAATGTACAAATCTGGGCTTTTGCATTTGCTTTTAAATTTACAGTAGTGCAGTACGGATGTTTGCACTCCGATGTTTTTTATTTCTTATAAAGCTTGGGCCTTAACAGACTATGGCTGCCTATTCTACTCGTTTGAGGAAAATAATACAACTCTCTGAAATATCAGTAAGTGAAATTTATAATACCAATAGGAAACGAACTTAATTAAATACGTCTTATTGCAATTCACAAGCTGATTCAAGTTACATTACGCTTATATCACAAATTCAACAAAACAAATCGTAACATAAAAAAAATTCTCCCTAGATTTTACTAATCATCTGCCGCCACTAGACAGTTCAGATGCGTCTGGAACGGTTTAAAAAAAGTCTTCACCACACATTATAAATCTTAGCAACAAATCGGTATTCGAACTCGATTACTCCAACTGAAAGTCATCTTATGACATCTATACATAAAGAAAACAGCTTTAACTCTAAAATCAACCCATTTTTACCTTAAAAACATCTTGTAGTCGCTTTGAAATATCCCGAAGCCGGCTGAACCTGTACGCCATCTTGAATACGGCAATATTGCATAACATTATTGCGCATGGCAGAACAAGGAAAATTTGTAGCCTCGCCTCACCAAGTAACCTCGTAATCTTTGTAACCGGGAGCGCTCTCAAAGAACTGGAAATGAACACGATCAAAGATGGCAGATAAAGTTTAGGTGTTTTACAGGTAAGAAATGAATAAGTTTATGCGGAGATTTTCTTCAAAATGTTGACTTATTTTGCTATTCAGATTGTATTGCATTGAATTTAGAGTTCTGTTTGATTTCTAACCTCCTTTTAGGTGTAAATTGTGATGCATTTTTATAAAGCTTTCGTCATGTTCGTAACTGCGCTGTCACAAATATTTCACTATTTCACTAAACAAGTTCTTTAAAGGTGTGCTGTGTTATTAAAAGGTTCTGTCATCAAGCAGCACATAACTCTGTCTTATTTTTTATTTAGGTTGATACTTAAGAATGGGCCTCTTGTCAGATGTTCATCAGCGCAAGAAAGTGGTGGATATTTTAGTCAAACATTGCTCAAAATTATGGTACCAACTTTAGAAATAACTTTTGTAAATTTAATTGTAAAAGCAATCCGGTTGTAAGTGTGGGTGCAACAACGATGGGGAAGTGAAACATACACAAAAATATCAGGGTTATTTCATTTACTATTTACTCCACCACCCCCCCCCCTCTCCCCCAACCCCATCCCCCGATGATGACGAACGCATGTCAGGTACATTTTCTGAGGGGATATATGTTCATTGGTGCATTTTTTAGCACTTTGGGAATGAACAATCATAATTGTAAATAGAAGATATTACCTGGCCACGCGGAGGTATGAAATTTCTCTTTGAGCGTTGAAAAATATTTCACGAGTGAGCGCACCGAATGAGTGAAATATTTTTTCAACACGAGAAGAGAAATTTTGTATCTCCCAGCAGCCATGCAATGTTCTATTAATTATATAAACACCAATGAAAATACCAAACCATTTCACTTTAAAAGTTTGGTGTGAAAGGCGCGATTTATTATGTAGCCACAGCAAAGGTAATGTTTTCACATGTGAAGATAATATGTTATTTTCACATGTGAAGATATCAAGTTTTCATGCACAAAAGCTCACCTGGTATTTCATTGGTGTTAATATATAATAATAATGATCATTATTTTTCCAATGAAACCTCTTTTTCATGAGCCCCACCCACATCTAACTACTGGTCTTTGGCTAATGGCCCACTCAGTCCTTAGAATCTTACTTACAAAGTTTTATCCTTAATGGTTCTTTTACAGTATTGTTAGCTATCTTGCTGGTATAATCTGGCTGTGTGCTCTGTCAGATCGTGCATTCAATGACCGAGTTTATTTTTCTGAAAATGCTTTGTTGCCTGGACTGGTTGAAGCTGAATTCAAGAGTCACAGACTTGCTTCTGAATTGTTCAAAAAACTTTCTACATTACCTGAAGCGGACATGAGGTTTGTCTATTTTCTTTAGCAACATTTTTTTGGCCACTCAATAAAACAAAGAAACTACAGATGAATGTATTTATCATTCAAGTGTCTACTGTTCAGCAATATTATCCTAAATGGTAGTTATTTGGGTGGGGTCTGGGTAGAGGTTGTGCTACATGTACAGAGGTCTTTAAACCCCGACCCTGTTTAAGACAAAAATAATTTTTGTCTTTTCTTTTCACCACCTTTTTTGACAAGATTTCATAATTTGATGATCCCGATTCTTACAAAAAAAAAGTAAAAAAATAAATTGTCGGTACCGTACTTGTAGACCCCTTATCACCAACCTTCACACTCTTTTAACTGTTAAGTCCCAAGAGTGACAAACATCAATTTCCTGTTACAATATTAATACACAAATCAAGAGAATAGGTTGTGAGAATTAACAAACTAATCACCTGAGTGAAAATGCTTTGATCTTTTATCAAATTCTCTCAACTTATTCCTTATAGAAATGTATAGTAGACCAGTTTGGAGAATTTGTATGTGAATACTGGGGCTTAAAAGTGTTAGAGGATGCCTGTCCAAAAAGACACCTTGTTCAAGATGCTAAATACTGAAAAATTGTGTACCCTGTTTCAACATCCTTTAAACCCTATTTTTTAATTCTTGTAAATTTGTCATTTTTGAACACCTTTATTCAAAACATTTTCAGCAAAGCTGCATCAGAGATGATTGCAAATGCAATGGAAAACAGCGGCCTGCAGACATACCACCAGAATTTTACAGTTCACATGCCATTTGCTGGAATAATGGAGCCTCATTCATCAATGGGTGTTAATATTTATGGAATTCTTAGAGCTCCCAGAATAGCAGGAACTGAGGCTGTGGTAATCAGTGTTCCTTATGATCAAGGAAATAATAAAGGGGCATTGGCTTTAATGTTGGCATTTGCTGACCACTGCCGAAGTAAGTTTTAAATTTCTCTGTACCTGTCATGACTTCACACAGCTTTAATCCTTCATCGGACTAATAAATTTTAGGAGACGATAGTTGTTGCACGAGGTTAAGTAAAATATCGTGATTTGTCAGTGGTGAGCTGATCAATTATTTGCCAAAGCCGATGGCTGAGACAAATAATTGATCTGCACTTGAGACACTGACAAATCATGATATTTTGTGATTACTGAGTAGTTCAATAATCATTTGATCACCAAGTTTGTTTTTTAATGAATATCTTTGGGAAGCGAAGCAATCTGCCATCGTCACGCAAGAGCAATCGCAAGCAGGAGAAAAGTGTGTTTTCATTTACGCATGAGCAGAGTATTATTTGCAGTGAAACACAGTAGGATGACATTGCCCATGAGCGGAGCATTATTTGTAGGCAGTTATTTGTAGGTCACATGATGGGCCCTTGGCCAATGAAAAGGATTAAAAATTTGCATCAAATTATAATACTGATTGTTCTCCAGTTTTTTTGGCCGCATCACAGCAACTATACTGTCAGTAGCACTTGGCAATGAAACAGATGTTTCCAACCATTTTTTCACCTGTGTATGTGTTTTTTGTCAACTGATTTGGTATAGACTGCAAGCGGTTGGCATTCTATCCTCAGAGCCATGTCTCAAAAGAAAAATAAGAGACTGCTTGCTGTCTAGATTTGGTACTGTATTGAGATTCAAAAGCATTTGACTCTCATGGTTTAAATAGCCAAAGTGTTTTCAATTAACTCACTTGACAAAGCCTTTTTTTTTTCGTTTTAACCCCTGTAAATGCAGCACCTCAGTTAAGAAAATAATTTTTTTAGCTTAACCTGAATAAGAATCATTGTGGCTCAACTAACAAGCAATCTCATCTCTGAGCCATTTTGTAAAATGAGTTCCAACCTGTTGCATGTGGAACAAGAAAGGTATTTGCGCTGTCCGTTCTGTCTTTATATGTCAGCAATTAGGCTGCAATGAACCTGCTTAGTATTGTAAATAGTATATAGTAACCATTTGCAATATTATTTCATTGACATTTATTTCTACCAAAAACCTTATTGAAAATATTATGGAGGGTTATATTGCAGTTCTGTTTAATACTATCTTAACTTCAAAGAAATAAGTTAGTAACCAGGGCTTGCCTTTATCTTTTAACCATTTAAGTCCCAACAGTGACCAACATCAATTTTCTCCTAATGATACCCATACATTGTCAAGAGATTAGGTTATGAGAATAAATAAAATGATCACCAAAGGGAAAAATGCTTTGATCTTTTATCAGATAACTCATTCTGTAAGGAAATGTAAGGAGATCAGTTTGAAGAATTTGTATGTCGATATGAGGATGAGGATTTGTTTGTGGCTTAAAGGGTTAAGGCAATGTCACTTGATTAAAAAGTAGTTTTTGTTTTCATCCTTTCAAGCCTGTCTTGCTCTTTTTTTATCATTATTCCAGGAAAAAGCTACTGGTCCAAAGACATCATATTTCTAGTAACAGATAAAGATCAGTTGGGGATGCAGGCGTGGCTTGATGCTTATCATGGCATCTCAAACTCTTGTAAGTATCCAAGAGCTTAGCCTGCGTAGCGGGCACTAGGAAGTAAATGGTTGCAAGAAAGTACGGGCGCTTGTTTTTTCTTGTGCCCATTATGTCCTCGCGCCTGCTACGCAGGCTACCAAGAACTTTACATGAACTGAAGGCTATCATCTCATGGTTCTGCAGAAAATATAGAGTAGAGAGAGAAAAAATTATTGTAGGCCAAAAAAGATTAGATCAAAAGGAGCAGAAAGCCGTTCACATGGGTTAGTGTATGTGGGGTTAGGTATGGTTGGGGGTTTCCCACCTACCCCCAGAAACGTTTTTATTTTAGGAGCTCTGAAAATTGCATTTCAGTCCGTTTTGAGCAGTCATGAAATTCAGCCATGTATGGAGGCAGTGTTTTTTTTTCACCAATATCTGCTCTATTTTTTATGATATGTTGTTTCTATTTGAAGAAAAGTGTTGAGAAACAAATACCACCAATTTATTCCCCTCTGAAAAAATATCTTGTTTGAGCACCCAACTCTTCTGTCTCAGCTATATGGCAATTTTTGCCAGCTGCTGGAGCTTCAGGAAAATCTGATCATCTTTTAGAGAACATCCCTTGGCTATGCAAAGGGAAATACTATGTGAAATAATGAGTAGAGTCGGCCTATGTATTTCCCACAGATATCTCTTCAGCTCCTCTGGAAGGACACTCTGGCTCTATTCAGGCAGCACTTAATTTGGAATTTGCTGATGAAAAAGTTAATCTTTTTGAGATTGCCATTGAAGGGATTAATGGACAGCTTCCCAACCTTGACTTGGTAAACACTGTATTTAGGTTGTGTCGCAAGGAGCGTATCCAAGCCGCTTTACACACAGAGGTAAATAACTTTACCTGAATTAACACATTTAAGCTCTAATTTAGTCTGGGAACAGGCTCCTTGTTGGGTATAAAAGGAAGAAAAATTAGTGGGTCTAGTCCATTGTATATAATTGTATTAATACTTTATTTTGTGAGTAATAATATCTATTTCTAATAATAATGTATTTGCATAACTTGTTGCCAGGGATATCATGAACACTTAGGGGCTTGGGGAGACTCTGTACAGTCCCTTGTTGCCATGGTGATGATGATGTTCTACCAAGCTTCTGGAAGGCCATCCGGCAATCATGGGTTATATCACAGATATCGCATTGAAGCTCTTACAATGAGGGGCAGGGGTGAAAGTTGGGAATATGGGCATGGATTCCTGGAGACAGGAAAGTATGTACATATTATTAATAATTATTATTGTTGTTTTATCATTCATTCACGGTTGTCAAACCTGTTGGCAACTTTAGGAGATAAAGGGTTTTCAGTTCTACAAATATTCTCCAAATAGCAAATGTTGTCTATCAAGTTGTCTTCTTGTTGTTTATTTTGTGTTTTTAGCCAAACATTTGCCTATTTCTTCCTTGTGAATCGAGTAAAAAAGTTCCACCATTTTGTATCACTCAAACAACTCAACTTCGTCTCGAGGTTCTCGGTGAACGGTTTTGATATCAATAATCTGGCAATTTTGCTGCACGATTGATGTCATTAGTTCAAAATCACAAAATTCTTCCAAATTTGGTCAACAGTAGTTGGTTATGATGAATTATGTGTGTGATTTTAGCCAATCAGAAACAGAGACATCTTTGGAATGAATAATAATTAGCAATTAGTATCACCTGAAGAATTATTTTGGAGATCAAGGGGAGTGTTGCACTCAATACCAAAAACAACTCCAACTTGTCCCCAGGTCTTCCTGGATAACGGTTCAACAATCTGTCAATTTTGCTGCATGATTGATGTCATCAGGTCAATATCGCAAAATTCTTCCTTTTCTTCCTTTTCTTTCTTCTTCCTTTGGTCAACGATAACTAGTTATGATGATTTTTGCATGGGATTTTAGCCACTCCAGCCAGATGTCTGATGTTAGGTTCTGTTATCAGATGTCTGATGTCAGCCGTCTGATGTCAGATGTGTGTTGTCAAACGTCTAATTTTAGACGTCTGATTTCAGGTGTCTGTTGTCAGACGTCTGATTTCATGTGTCTGATTTCAGGTGTTTGATATCAGATGTCTGATGTCAGGTTCTGTTATCAGACGTCTGGTATCAGGTGTCTGTGTTCAGACGTCTGATTTTAGGTGTCTGATATGAGACGTCTGATGTCAGATTTCTGATTTGAGATGTTTAATTTTAAATGTCTGAATTAGATGTAGGTTCTCAGATGTCTGATTTGAGATGTCTGGTGTCAGACGTTATATGTCAGGTGTCGGATATCAGACGTCTGATATCAGGTGTCTGATGTCGGACGTCTGATGCCAGGTGTCTAATGTCAGAAGTCTGATCTCAGGTGATCAGACGTGTGATTTCAGATGTGTGATTTTAGATGTCTGTTGTCAGACGGCAGATTTTAGATGTCTGATGACAGACGTCCTATTTCAGGTGTCTGATATCAGACATCTGTTTTTGTGTGTCTGATTTAAGACTTCTGATTTTAGATCTCTGATGTCAGGTTTCTCATATCAGACGTCTGATGTCAGGTGTCTGGTTTACAATGTCTGATTTTAGATGTCTATTGTCAGGTTTCTGATATCAAATGTGTGATGCAGGTGTCTGATATCAGACGTCTGATGTCAGGTGTCTTATATCAGATGTCTAATGTCAGATATCTGATATCAGAAGTCTGATGTCAGACGTCAGATGTCTGATATCAGTCGTCTGATTTCTGATGTCTGATGTCAGACGTCTGATTTCAGATATCAGATGTCAGTAGACGTTTCATGTCTGACGTCAGACGTGTGATGCTTGTTGTCTATTCTCAGACGTCTAATGTCAGATATCTGATCTAAGACGTCAGATTTGGGACATCTGATATGAGACATCTGATGTGACATGTCTGATCTATATTGTCTAATGTCAGCTGTCCGATATCAGACGTCTGATGTCTGCTGTTAGACGTCTGATATCTGATGTTTGTTGTCTCATATCAGATATCTGATGTCAAACGTCTGATGAGAGTTGGCAGGTGTCTGATGTTAGACGTCTGATGCCTGATGTTTATCGTCTAATGTCAGATGTCTGATGACAGACGTCTGATGTTTGTTGTCTGATGTCACACATCTGATGTCTGACGTCTGATGTTTGTTGTCGGATGTCAGGTCTGTCATATCAGTCGTTTGATATATGATATCTGATGTTTGTTTTCTGATGTCAGACGTCTGATGTCAGATATCAGATGTGGGACGTCTGATATCAGACATCTGATGTAAGACGTCTGATATCAGATGTCTGATATATGTTGTCTAATGTCAGCTGTCTGATATTTCACGTCTGATGTCTGATATCTGATGTTTGTTGTCTCTTGTCAGATATCTGATGTCAGACGTCTTATGAGATTTGACTGATGTCTGATATCAGACGACTGACATCAGACATCAGACAACTGATCTTTGATGTCAGACGTCTGATGTTTGTTGTCTGATGTCTGACGTTTATTCTCTAATGTCTGATGTCAGACGTCTGATTTTTGTTGTCTGGTGTCAGATGTCTAATGTTTGGTGTTGGTTTGGATCGTTGGATGTCAGACCTCTCATATCAGACGTCTGATTTCAGATGTCAGAAATCTAATGTCAGACGTCTGATGCTTGTCTGATCCCAGACGTCTGATGTCAGATACCTGATCTAAGACGTCAGATTTGGGACGTCTGATGTCAGACGTCTGATTTCTAATGTTTAATGTCTAATGTCAGCTGTCTAATATCAGACGTCTGATGTAAGACGTGTGATGTCATTTGCCTGATTTCTGATGTCTGATGTCAGAAGTCTGATGTCTAATGTCTAATGTCTGATGTCTCATGTTTGTTGTCCGATGTCGGATGGGTGATGTCCGATGTCTGATGAATTTTGTCAAAGATAACATCCTCATAGCGATGTTGTTTACCAATATTGTAGAGTCAAACGTCTTAAATACGGACACCAAAGGGAACAAACCAAGTGTCCACCTTACAGAGGCGTCCGTATTATAGAGGTGTCTGTAAGGAGAGGTTAGACTGTATTCTTTCGTCATACCTTTGAAACAAAGAAAGCATTGAAATAAATGAGTTGTTTGTGACAGGAGAGACTTCGGACATCAAACATGGTAATCAAAAATCAAACATCGAACATCGGACATCGAATTTCAGACATCGGACATGGGACATCAAACATCAGACATTGGACATCGGACTTTAAACATCAGGCATCGGACATCGGCCATAAGACATCAGTTATCAGACATCGAAGATCAAAGAGAAACTCGAAACTTCACAAAGAATGTACGTGCTCATAAACGTTTTTGCCACCCAGCAATTTCGTAAATTTCGATGGCTTACAAGGAGATGAAAATTGCACAAAACTCTCAAATAAACCAACACTTTTGACTTTTGAACAAATTTAATGCACTGTCATCCTCATATCAAACGTCTTACAAGCTTGTGTGTAAAAAGTATTAAGTATTATTATTGTTGTTTCCTAATTTTTTGTCCTTTACCTTTCACATAGGGTCATTGAAGGAATTTTCCGCAGTTTGAACAACTTATTGGAGCAGTTCCATCAATCATTCTTCTTCTATCTCCTTCCTGAGTCTCATAGATACGTGTCTATAGGTCTATACATGCCTCCATTTGGTTGTCTTCTATTGGGCCCTGTTATCATGGCAATAACTCTCTGGACTTTAGCAGGGACTGGACCAGAACATGAACCAAAGGCAGACACCCCACAAGTGGGTGGGGCGACTGAGGAGGGATCTGAGCAAGGACAGACCGAGGTAGAAAGCACAGAGGAAAAAAGTGAACCTTATGAAGCAGACAAGGTTGAGGTGGAGGATAAGGTTTGTTTAAACCTTTTAAGCACCAATATCACATCCAAATTCTCTATACCGAACTCTATAAATTTCTTTGAAGAACTACTTGAGAGAATTTGTTCAAAGATCAAAGCATTTTCACTTAGGTGATCACTTTATCAATTCTCATTACCTTTTCCATGGAATATGTATTGACATTGTTAGGAGAAATTGATGTTGGTCACTCTGAATGAGGTGCTTCGTCGCAGGCTAGAGCACAAGAGGTTTTCAACTCTTTATCCACACTTTATTCAACAACATATAGTACCAGGAGCCCATCACCCGGAGCGAGCAACTTCCATGGGCTCGTGTCACGTCGTTTTCACGGACCAGTTCATTTTTAGAACGGTTTTGGCGCAAATTTCTAGTTGAATATCTTTTAAGTTCCACAAACCAGTCAGCAAAACCTACAGACCTAAAAATGATATTTTTTGCCTTTTAATTACGTTTAGTTTTCCTTTTTTGTCTTATACTTCGAATGCGCTCATAGACTTGTTGGAGATTCTATTTTCGCCGGTAAAAGTACTCTAAAATGTGTCTAAAAATAAACTGGTTCGTAAAAACGCCGTGACCGATGCCTAGTATGGAAGTTGCTCGCACCGGGTTATGGGCTCCTGATAGTACAAAGAAGTACAAAAACACAGTGTTGAAAAGGGAAAAAAATCCTAAATATGCACTGCAGCACCATCCTAGTAGGAAACCCCAAACTACGTGAAGCCCTCAAACATGTACAAAAGAAATTCAAAACTTAGCTTGAAATCTAGAAGCCTTTGCCTTATTTAATCAAGTCCGCAACAGAGGATGTTTCTCTGATATCACGAGGGAGACGATTCCATTCTGCAACTATTCTGTTCATGAAACTAAATTGAAATAAATTAGTCCTTGAATAGAAGGCCACAAGATTTGGAGTATTCATACTTCTCAGTACACATCCCCCATTAACATCCTCAGAAAGCTAACTCCTGCTCCCGTCAATTAACAACTTTTGCAAACTCTTAATTCAATTTGGCACAGACGAATACTTGTAACGAATAATCAATAATTTTCAAGAGCTTTTAAGGGGTTTTCGCGAGCAAACAGTTTATATGTTAACATTGAATTTACAGGTTGCTTTCTTACGACATCCTCCCAACATGGGAATTGTAGTTCCTGTTGTCATGGCAACGCAAATGGCCGGCGTGTTGGTATTTTACTCTCCTGATCTCGGTTACAAACTGGGTAAAGTTACAGGGGTGGACCCATTGCAGTCGGCCTATGCTGCAATAGCTGGTTCCTTTCTTTCATTAGTGCTGCTCCCTTTGAACAGAAGGTAGGCGTTGTATCTGTTATGATAAGAGACGACTACACGTACGAGATTTTCTCACTACGAAGCTGTGTGCGCGCGTGAACCAGCGTCATTATCGCGGGAAAACGTCATAGCCGTCGTCATTCTACTGCAAGTTTAAGCGATAATAGAGAGCTTTGGATTTGAGGACGAGAACGAGTATGAGTACGAGATTTAACTTTAACTTTAATTTTTTACGTGTGTTCTCAAAAAAAAAAAGACATCCTGGAAAGCTTCATTTTACTTTTTTCACCAAAAAAGTTAGTACAGTTATTTATACTGAAGGAGGTTAAGCCCTCTCCCGATAGTAAAATGATAAAACTTCTTACATTTGATAACTTGTTGCCGCCACTACGACATTCTCGCTAAAACTCGTAGTAGAATGACGACGGCAATCACGTTTTCTCGCCAAAATGACGCTGGTTCACGCGTGAGCAATTACGGCGTTTTTGAGAGACGCACGTCAACCGGAAGTGAGGCCTTCTCCCTTTTTACATGCCTCGACGCTAACAAATTTGTATTGCTAAGTTTCTTTTCTCTTGTAAAGACGATTTACCCGAGAGTTTCAACCAAACTTAACTGCCCAATGATGCAAAAAGTCCACTTCCGGTTGACGTCCGTCGCTCAAAAACGCTGTTGCTTAAGCTCCCTATTGAGAAAAATTTCCTACTCGCAATCGTCCTCGTCTCAGAATCTAAAGCTCTCTAATGTCGTCGTGGCGGAAACAGGTTAACAAGTGTTAGAAGTTTTATCATTCTGCGATCGAGAGAGGGCTTAATCGCCTTCAACAAAAGTAGCAGAGCTAACTTTTCTGGTGAAAAAAAAAAAAGTACAATGAATCTTTCCGAGGTGTCTTTTTTTTGAAAAGACGCAAAAAATGTTTAAGTCAAATCTCGTCTCCGTAGTCGTCCTTGTCCTCGAATCTAAAAGTGATGTACAGGGGAAGATTCGACACGACGATTTTTAGCGTAATACAGCGTTGCAATTTTGGAACAGTGTTGTAACTTTTCGAAACAATGTCGCAACAATGTTGAAACGCTGTGTTGCGCTAAAAATCGTCGTGTAACATCACCTCAAGGTCCTTAATATGTTGTTTCAGCTGATCTGGTATTGTTAAGTTGAGTTCTCTTTTGAGTAGCCGCTTGGTCCAAAGTCACGCAACGCTCCCCGTTGTCATTTAGTCATTATTAGTAAACTTACGCAACAGGACGAGAGAGGAAAGAAGACGGCAAGCCTTGTGTGACAATCGTGACAATAATTTAGTTTGAAATAACTTTTTTCGCCAAACTTCACTTCTCTTTAGACAGACCTTTTTGTGAAAGACCAGAAAACATTAATGTAAGCGAGGGTCACGACAAAACACGCAAGTAATAGCCCAACGTTTTGTCGTCCTCTTCACTTTTTGTCGTCCTGTTGCGTAAACTCATATTTAGGCCCAAGCGGCTGCGAAAGAGACTGTGTAGAAGGAGATCATTTGGTAATTATTTTACTCAATCACAGTAGAAGTAAACAATTCAATGAACCAATCAGAACACGAAGCTAATACATAAAGCCTGCGTAAACCGCGGGAAAATACGTATGACAAAGTCGCGATTGGCTCTCATTCTTCTTTTGATTAGTTGAAAAAAATTACAGCGAAGTTTTAGCCAAAATAAGACGATGTATGAATAGTATTTAATTACAGTGGAATCCGATTAATACGGACACGAAGTGTTGTTCTTGAAACATGACAATCGAATCCACGACTTTTCTTTGTCATTTACTGATGGTCTTAGCTTGCCACTCAGCCAGGTGGACAGAACCTTTAAAAGGTCATTCGCCGTTCCTGAAAGGTTTTTTTGACATTCAGTCATGGAGAGTCCGTAGATAAATAATGTCTGTAAAGCGGGGCTGACGATATGTGGGAGTTTGTGAATCGGGATATAGGCAATATCGGGATATCGTTGTCCGTTTTAACCGGTGTCCGTAAATAGCGGGTTAATCTAAGAGAAAATGAATGAGCTGTTGGTCGGGACAAACGAAATTGTCCGTTTTGTACGGGTGTTCGCATTAAGTGGGTGTCTGTAGAGCAGGGTTCCAATGTATCTAAGACTGGTTTTCATTTCTCTCTTTCCTTTATCAAGGTATTCTCGTGATACGAACTCCGGTGATGTGAACTCGAGAAACCATCACATGCTCAAGTGTGGAGCGTTAATTCTGTTTTCTGTTCTCTTGGGAGCCATGGCTGCTATGAACTTCTCTCTTGCTTTCTTTGTGGCTGTGTTTCATGTTCCTGTGTACTTATTCGTGACTCCTACCCCTAGTAGGTAAGTTGGACGGGCCTCATCCTCCTTACTTCGGATCATTATACGTCTTTGGGAAACTCACCACCTACCCCTCCCCTAAGCCAACAGTAACGCGTACTCCTCAGTTAGGGGTTAATGTTGGCTAAGGGGAGGGGTAGTTGGGCAGCGGCAACAGGCTGACGCCTCTAGACATTTTAGGGAGCTTAGGCAACGACGACGGCGACGTCAACGAGAACGGCAAAAATGCAATAAGTTTAGAATAGCAAAACAACAACTTTGCACGTGCATCATGCTTTTTTGTACATTTCTTTGCCGTCATTGCACGAATACGACGTGAAAATGCCTAATTTCACGTTTTGTAGAGGACGTGAACACAATACAACGACTTTCTTTTTTCTTTTCCTGTACTTCGATACAGTCCTTTAGAATTCAGCCCCGGAAAAAAATGCCAACATTTGGTGAATTGAACGCGAGGGAATAAGAGCGACAAAGTTTGAAGCAGTGCAACTTTACTTTTTAAGTGACGTTTTCGTAGCCGTCGCCGTTGTTGTTGCTTAAGCTCCCAAATGATAATATGAAGGCTCTGGCAGAATTAGCCTGCGAATACATTGTCTCTCCTCACTCCAAGCCGGTACGGACTTTTGTTATTTATTTATTTATTTATTTATTTTACATTTGCCACATAGAATGAATATTACAGAAGGAAAATGACAAATATATATTTATAAAATAACTAAGATAGTACGCCCGCTCTGATTGGCCGAGAGGAGTGTTTGCATGAGAGTATGAAAACATGGTTGTGACGTCGAGTGACGTCAAGATGTTTTGCTTTTCGCGCGTTAATCACGCAGGCACAAATTTGAAAAAGTTTTTGAGTTCAAAACTGGACAAGTTTACTTTATTCACCCATTCTTTCGTCGGCTGAAACTTGGAACATCTTTACAAACAAGCTGTGTCAATTTTGTTTTCGCTTAAGCTGACATTTTAAGCGAGAAAAATCCGTATTTTGGAAAACATCTTTTTGCAAAACAAGAACTGATTACGCGTGCAAGCCTTCGTGTACACGACTTTGCGACTGGTAAGAAGTGCCATAACAAAGAGTTTTGCGTTTTCTCGGGAAAGTTATTTTATAAAAGCAACAGAAAACTTTTTTCGTGTGTTTGCATAGCCTGATATAAACACGAGGGGGTTGGGAGAATTCCCGACAGTTATGCAAACCCTCGACTTCGTCTCGGGTTTTCATAACTGTCTCGAATTCTCCCAACCCCTCTCGAGTTTATATCAAGCTATGCAAACACGGAAAACGTTTTCTATTGCTTAAACATTATTTCCAAGGTTGCACTTTTGTAATTAGATAGAGTTGCCATATCATGGTCAGGCGAGTTTAATTTATAGCTCTCTCGAAGAGGTATTTTTTTAATGAAGTCTTGAAACTAGAGTAACTTGTCAGTTCCGTAAGATTATGGGGAAGGGAGTTCCATAGCTTAGGTCCTAGATGGAGGATTGTGAACTGTTTAATGTTTGTTTTACAGAAATAAGGTCGGTAGTTATTAGCATTGCGAGTATTATATGTGTATACTTGGCGACTAGTAACAAAGGTGGTGTTAACCGTATGAGGAAAGAGGTTAATATGATATGAGTACATAAAACACCCAACTAGCGGCGAGTAGTGATTAGAGACGGCTATATATGCAGGTTATGGGAGAATTGATTATTACCAAATTTCGCTTTTTGATAGCAATGTTTTGTCAATCAGGGTGGTCGGAGCCCCTCATATTAGTTATTCTCGGGAAACGATCGGATTTTCCGATGTTTCCCGAATTTCCAACTGTCCCAGACCGCAGAATTCTCGGTTGCAGTCTTCCCACCAGCTGCCCGAAAAATTCAAAATGGCTACCAAAGAAAACACTTTCCACGCATCGATAAGTAGCCCGCTGCAATAAAGTAATCTTTATTCATTATAACAATCTAATTAGATGTAAGAGCCCACAGTGTACTCCTAGTACTTAATGGCTCTGCATCTCAATCTTATTTTCTGTTTGCAGAACTCGTCGCCTCCTGCAGGCTCTTCTGCTACTCCTGGTATCTCCACCAATGGTTCTCTTGCTGCTGTTACTAGGATACAATACACTCACGGCAGGGATCGACGACGATTTCGCCTCTGTACTATCAGCCACTCTCATCACATTCCATCAAGCCGTGACCTCATCAATCCGAGAAGCCCACTTGTTAGGCACGTGGTCATACGCTATGACGTGTCTCGGTGTTTTGCCAAACTGGCTCATGTTTTGGTGTTTAGCGTGGTATTGAGTACTTGGAAAAGGCACTTTAGACATTTTATCAAATTGTGTTTTATTTTTTTGGAGATGGCGATGGTTTCGTGATCAGTGCGTTACAATAAGGTCGCTTATAGCACTTGTAATTGCGTGTAGCTAACCGGTCAAGTTGCCCGATATTTTGTCAGGTGTACCACACAGAAAAATAGAGTTCACTAAAGAGTCTGTAATATATCTCGTTCTTTAAACCACCAGGAGACCACACAAGCGGGATGTTGTTTAGTATGATAAAATTTTGGGCGACTTAACTCTGATTACGGGCGACATAACATTGGGAGAGATGACTTTCGGGTGACTTGAACGCCTAATTGCGTTCTTACCGCCGTGTTATTTCTCTTTAGACTAGAAAATTTACTCTTTTATCTTTTTCAACTCCTTGGTTGTTAAACGCAGACCGCAGGCTGCCTTGTTAAAAAGGCAGTCTGTCTAGCAAGTTTCCGGCGCTTCATCTTTCATAAGACGACACGAGTCCGACTTAGACACGAGTCCGACTTATCAAAGGCGCGTAACCAGGCTTTTTTCGCGCAAACTGTGCAAACACTTGCCCGGTTCATGTGTGTACACGACTCGATATCATTTTCTGATCAGCTCAAGAAACGCTTCGGGATTCCACAGGTCCCGTGTAAACGAAAGGCGGATATGTGCAAGTTTTTGTCCGTTCAAAAATTTGTCCGGACCCGTATAAACTAAAACGGTGTCTCAGTTTCAGGAAATTCAGCTTCATTTAGCATATTTAGCGAGTTGCAATGAACGCGAAGGACTGAGGCCTAAAGAATGCGGAATCATTTTACTAATCGCGCTGTATTTGTTTCTAAACCTTCCTGTTAGAAGAAATGAGAAAGACGCGTCTGTGGACCATCGCTTTATTCAGAGAGATAATTTTTTTTCTTACTTGCTTTACGATACAACGTGCTAAATTTGAACTTTAAACATCATGTAGCGGTTCTTTTTATAACAGTATAAGTTTTAGATAGGTTTCTTTCGTTTCTTGGTGACATGTTTATAAGCAACCACAGCATAAACTACACAAATTCTTAGGTATCTTTGTATATGTAAGGATCGGAATGACAAGACAAACGTCGTGCTTCTGCCGTGCTAAGCTGGCTCGACTGTAGCTCGACGGCAGCACGACAATAGCACGACTTGGTTTCAGACATCGAATTTAATTCAGTCGAATAGAACGGCTGTTACCGAAAACAAAACACAAAAATAAAGAAACGGTTTTGCAAACTTTTAAATTTATCCTCATGTATTTATAATTTATGAATTGTGTTCGGCACGGCAGTAGCGCGACGTTTGAAACCAAGTTGAGCTACTGCCGTGTAGCACGGCAAAGCTTGCCGTGCTACACGGGAGTAGCACGACAAACGTCGCGCTACCGCCGTGCTAAAGTCGAATTTAATTCGATCAATTTAGTTCGGCACGGTAGTAGCACGACGTTTGAAACGGGCCTAAGGTAGCTAGGAATAAAGTACAGTACTTTGCCATGGCTTTTTCCTCTTTTCAAGTCAGAGTTGTTAAGTAAAATTTTCATTTTTACTTCTTATTGTCCAGCAAGTTTTCTTTGCTAAGTCTTTTCATGACACATGAAAATTATCACTTTTTCATCTATACTACCAGGAAATTTTGACGGCAAAACTTGTTAAGATCAGTTTGCTAGTGGAACCTAAAGAAAAATGCGGTGCTGACCTTGTGCTGACCCAATACGATTTTTTTATTTGTAGGAACAATTCACTGCAAAAGTTTTAACTTAGAAATAATTAATTAATTGTAGCTCAATTATATTTTTCAAATGTACCCTTTCTAGTGGAAAAGTTTGAACCGACAGATGTGATTTACTTAGGTAGACCGAAATGTCATCGAAAATGCATGAACCAAAAGGTCTATAAACGATCCTTAAAGTTGTCTGGTTGACGATACCCGAAAAGTTTTCCATTATAATACAATTGTTTTGTTTTAACTGAAGCTTCATGGTACGAAAAAAATCTCACCTTGCGAGTTCACCTAAAGACTCACACTTCGTCTCGGGTCAGTATGACACAGTTCTTTACAAAACAAAGGTTTTTGTGCTAGACTCATGAATTCAAGTCGGGTTGCCCGAGGATAATTCTCTGTTTTTCATTATACGTGCGCGATAGGGCGGGAGTTATGCGAGCATGATCAGGAGTTTTTGATGTAAAAGAGTAATGATGAAATATTAGTTTCAGAACTCCGGTTATCCGGTCTTTTAAGCTGAAACACAAGAGCGAACCAAAAACGATCTCTCTGACGTGAGAAAATCAAAGGCACGTCCTCAACTGAATGGGCAAATTTTCTTTTTGCTTTACCCATGGAAACTCCCATAGATCTAGCTCCTTTTATCTGAACAAATCACGACAGGCTTCGAATTCAAACCAATAATTAAAGATGATCTACCAACTACGGTTCAGTTCAAGTAAAGAAAGTGCTTTGCATTGTGATGTTTTAAAAAGTGTCTCATCAGTTTTGCTCAAATATCGCACCTTTTATCGCGTCGCTTACTTCGTTTATAATTAGAGGTGGGTTTTGTTCGGGCAAAATGAGACCCTTGGGGCCAGAAATGTGAAAAAGCACTCCATTTTAATGAAGAAGAACTGTCGTCGCTTTTTAAAATATTTCGTGGGCCTATAGTGTGAAAGTTTTCACACACTTTTCATCGGACTTTATTTTCCTTAGAGATACGAGGGAGCAAACCACGCGAATTGAAGCACAAAATATCGCCTCGCGCGAGAAAACTCTGACATACTCGGTGCGACATTCCACGCACTCAGGTTTTACGCTTAAAATATTAAAGGAACTGTTTCTGACAACTGTTTAAAAGTATCTTTAGCAAAGGACTAGTGGTAAAGAAGAGTCCCTGAACTTGAAAACGTCGCGGCCGCGTTTTTCGAATTTGATAGTTATTTAGCCTGTTCCACGCTCTCAGATAGTGGGGAAGACGCGAAAGTGAGAGGCACGCGGAAAGTTGGTCCTCCCGTTTTTTTATTTTTTCATGTTTGCGCTTTCTTAATTCAGCAGATCCGACTATCTCGGAGCCTGGAACAGGCTAATAGTTATTAGGAAAAAAAATTGTTCGAAAAAGCGTAATTTATTTTGGTCTGCTCATATCTAGCTATATCTCGTGGAATAAACTGATTCATGTGTTTAACTGTTTTGAAATAAATAATGACTGCACATAAAAAGTGAATCTCGCAGCACTTTCGTTAAAAAAATTCTTTTTATATAACATTACTTAACTGGAAACATTTCTGATTGGAAACAATTCCTCTGTTAAAATCCTCGTTTTAAAAACAGAGTTAATTTCAAGCAATTACTTTTGATTAAGTAGCTAAACACAGTTTAAATAGCTCCAGAATTTTTTAAGCACACTCAACTGATCCTTTCGCTTTTGACTTGACGATATTGATGTAATTGCTTTGTTTTGCAGTTTATTGTGAGAAAAAGTCTCACCTCTAGAAGTAGGATAACAAACTCGCACCTTGTCTCGCGTGGTCAATTTTTAAATAAAAGAACCGGCTATCTTTTGTTGTAGCGTTTAATTAGTGAATGCAAATGTTTATGCCTTTTGTAAAGCTTAGAGTTTATAACGGGCACGCTTACACTAGCGCTTTCACTTGACGGCTCAACTTGCAAAGATAGAGTATTACACTAGCGTTCATCATGAAGTTTTACACGATGCTGTCACTAAGCGTTTTGGTTTTGGCCCTTGCTCAACAAGTATCCAGCAGCAGGTAAGGGGAATGTTCTACTTTAGCCACCTAGAAGTGTGACTCGGCAAACAAGCGTGTAAGGATGCGTTTTCGACAGAGCTTTGCGAATTACGGGGGACAATTATTGTGCCTGAAATTTGGAGGGGAAAGCCTCGTACACAAGTGATTTTGTTGTTTTTTGGCATCCGTGTTAAGATTATTTTCTCAAATATGAGCATAGATGTGTATACAAATCCAATAGTAAGGTGTTTACAACAATTCACAAAATTTGATGCCGATATCAGTAGAACTGAGGCGCGAAAACGAGCGAATCTCTGTGATAGTTCTTAATGTACGCTGCGTATTGCTTGTGACATAGTGCGTATCTTTCAAAACTTTTCTTTGTCGTAGATAGTTTCGCAGATCATCTGACAGAGGATTAATGTTTCTTGCGTCACTCTGATTTCTAGCAGATGTTTTAAACTTTTTGCCCAAATCGAGTCAACCATTTCACACGTAGATGTGTTCTCTGATTTTGCTTCCAAGGAGCGGATTTGGCGTGAAGCTTTTTTCGTACTTAGGTTGTAAGACAGGTTGGACCGCGAAACTGGTGCATGAATTAGAAGAATTTTATGGCGAAATTTTGGCGCTTTTTACACGTAATTTGGGAAGCAATGATCACGTTTTCAAGAATTATGCAAAGATGGGAAAAGTGTCCTGTTATTTGCTCCGTGTTTCATCAAAGTTAGAGTTCTTTGAAATTTGTTTTAGTCTTTATCAGCGTAGTGACCTGTAACTTAATTTGTTTCAGATCCAGTGGTCTGGACAGTACTCTTCGACAAAAGGTAAGTTTGCAAATAAATGATATTGAACTCCTAAGGCATCTGATCAAGAACTAGCTAGAATTTTGTTTTTGAACAGCTCTGCCTGATATTGACTGTAATCTCGCTTTACACCAGTTTCGCTATGTCCAATTCACTATGTTCGAGTTCGTTACCTACATACTAGGCTAGATTGAGGTGTTATTTAAAACAGTTTGCGGAAAGCCTAATATTTAGCGAACCGGTGTTGCGAACTGGGAGGTAGCGAATTCACTTGGTTCACATTGGTCGATAGGTTTTTGATTGTTTAATACGTTATCACCCTTTGAAGTCGAGTTAACACTATTACTTCGCATAGTTTAGTTATATTGGAACGAGCAATATTCATGCCGTATCAGTGTTTTTCGTGTTCGCGCGCTAAATATAATTCAAGTTATCGAAGTTGTTGAAGAGTCTCATTGCTTGTGATTTTCTTCGAGTAAATTAGTATATATAAAACAAATCTCTTCAGTTATTCCATTACATTATTAGATTATATCGTGTACTAATTATTACCTTGTAAATTTTTTTTTTTTAGAATTATCCCTTGTTACTGAGCATTGTGAGAGAAGGAGGACGCCGCGGGTTGACGGAATGTCGACGACAATTTAAGACAGAGATTTGGAATTGTTCCCTTGGAAACAAGAGAGTGTATACACAGTTGCCCATCTTCGTTAACACAGCACTTCCTTATGGTAAGTTCATGTTTCATCGTTGTAGTGCGTAAAAATGATGCTTAGTTTAGGACAAAAAAGGCGCAATTAGGTTCGCAGCAAAAACTTTGAAGTTTGTCTCTAGCGTATAAAGCATACACCTTTGAACGAGTAAACAGAATTAAGAACAGTCTTTTCTATGACTTGTAAGTCCAAAAAGTTAGTTTTTGGACTGAAGACGTTTGTATCTTTTTATGTCAGAATATTGTTGTTTTCCAAAAAGAAACACAAGTCGTTTCATTTCTAATGTTTACCCGGTGTTTCGGGAGACGCATGCGCAAATGGACATAATCTCATAAGCAACCAATCTTTTGGTGATCTGGCTACTTAAGATCTTGAGCCTAGCTACCGCGTATCTTTTGAAGTGGTGGCTTTTTAAATTAGGCGAAGCAGTTGAAAAAGTGCGGGTTCTTTTTGTTTTCAATTGGTTGAATTGTTTATTATATCCATTAGAAATGAATGGTAATTCTTGTGATCTGTTTGCTCTCATCAATGTGACTTATTCACGAATCGCCAAAATTTTTGCTCAACAACAAAATACATTGTTGTTGTTTTTGCTCCAAATCGGTTCATTTCCGTTTGAGATGAAATAAGATGTAAAAACGTTCCGCTTATTTTTTGCACCCGCTAGTGGATCAATAAAAATGTTGATACTTACTAAAATTCTGTATCCAGTGAGGGATTTCAAAATGTTTGTAGTGAAAGTTGCGTGTCATTCACTATTGGTCTAAAATCATACCGTACTTTGATTCTCAATAGAACCTTCTGCGCGCTCGTTCGGTTTTGAAATCACGGGTATAGTTTCAGACCAAATTGTACTTCACTTAATTACAATATCATTATGCACATTTCTTTAATTACAGCCACGAAAGAAACAGCTTTCCTTCACGCCATCAGCAGCGCTGCAATCACCCACGAGATAACGCTCCAATGTGCTCGGAACAAAATTCCTGGCTGCAGATGCGGGAAAACGAAATCAAGGAAGCGGGGAAACGCTGACTGGCAGTGGGGCGGATGCAGCGACAACATGAAATACGGCGAGAAAGAGACAAGACGCTTCATCGACAAACTAGAGAAAGGAAATGACGCACGTACAGCATTCAACCTGCATAATAATCATTTGGGAAGAAAGGTAGGCTGGTAGCTTGAAATTATCTAATAAAAAGTTAAGGGACGGTTGCTGGGAAAAAGTGTTAAATTTTCAATTTCCTTTCCGAGAATCCGTAGACGGCTTTAAGTTAATGAGGAGTTTGGTGCATAATAATAGCACATAACTGGTGATCCTTGCGATCTGTTTGCTCTCATCAATGTGATTTATTCACGAATCGTCAAAATTTTTGCTCGAAATCGCTTCATTTCTATTTGAGATGAAATGAGATCAAAAGCGTTCCGTATATTTTCAAACGGGCAATTGGTTCAATTCCACAAAAAAATCATGCTGTATGACTTAGTTTGCGGAGCTGATGGTTTTCGCGCGTTTTGTCTTAACAGGCTGTTCGCGCAAGTCTCCAGAGGAACTGTAAATGCCATGGCGTCACCGGAAGTTGTAACTTGAAGACATGCTGGAAGCAGCTTGCCCCGTTTGAGATCGTGGGATCAGCGTTAAAGCAGAAATATCGCACAGCGACTCAAGTGACGTTCCTAAACAACAATCTTCAAGAGCGAGACAACCGCAACCGCTACAGTCAGGTAACAAGAAAAGACCTCAAGCTGGTTTATCTTGACTCGTCCCCAGACTACTGCGTTCGAAACATGACCGTGGGCTCTCCTGGAATGCTGGGAAGGACATGTAGAAGTGACATTGTGTCCAATGGACAATGCCAATCGCTTTGCAATTCTTGTAACCTAAGGCACCGCACAAAGGAACATTCCAAACAGGTTAAGTGCAGATGTAAGTTTGTATGGTGCTGTACCGTTAAATGTAAGCTTTGCACTGAAAAGTATTCGCTCACAACTTGCGTTTAGTCATTCTGAACCAAGCAATTTTTCTCTCACAAGTTGTACTTAGTTTTTAATATGTGATGTAATGACTGATAAGTTTTCCATCAAGTTAAACTTGTACATAAATGCACAGTTACCGTTAAATTCGACTTTTGATTAGGTAAGAGCAATGTAGCGACAAGATCATGTTTGCATGTTTTCAAGTTTGCAACTTCACCAAGTTGTATAAGTTAAATAAGTTGGTTTTTGTAACGATAAAATGTATATATTATAAACTATTATTGTAAACTATGTGTCTTCGCTTGTGGTTAATTGACTGGTTCTTTTCGCGCCGTAGCCCCCGTATTCCGCAGCCTCCAATGCGCTCGAGGGGGTACTCCCCTATATAAGCTATATAGGTATGTACCACCCCACCTGGTAGGGTTTTTGCGCCGTTTTGGTCTGAAAACGGGTATACACTTTGCCCATTTTGGTCTAGAATCGGGTATAGTTTGCAAGGGAAATACAGGAGTGTGTGAACGTATTTATCATTTCAATTTCGAATGAGAAAGAAAGAAAGAGAAATATGCGAATTCGAAATGGCATTTAAGAATTTTTTTGTTTGCGCCCTAAACTAAGTAATGATAGCATAATTTCTGTCTAAAGGTCAGATCTGAAAACTGGTATGGATTTTAGAGGTCGGGTCTGAAAACGGATGTGGAAAATGACATTTTTTGGTCTGAAATAGGGTCAAGAATTTTGGGAACCGGGCGGCAAACCCCTACCAAGAATTCCCAGGAGTAACCCCCGGCCAATGTGTAAGGAAGAAATTCAAAGATGTTCTTATTTCATTTTAATTTGGTGAAAGAAGTGAGGAGTGTTTTTTCTAAGATAAATGGCAAAAGTTTCCACTTGTTATTTTGCCCTTACGGAAGGTGAACTTTTTTTCAGTGTAATAGAGACTTTTAATTTCACGACTTGCTTCCAGTCACTTAAAAAACTGAATGTAAGCAAAAAGCGCCATTTGTAGTGTTCTGAGGAGACAATTTCTGTCTATATCTTTGCTAAATGCTTATTTATGTTTACGTGGCTTGCATGCAAGTATTCAGTCTTATTATATATTTCACGCAGTTTTTTAAAGTTTTCTAGATATCAGTTTCAATTAAGTATATTCTGGTAGTTGTTCTTGTATAAGTATAAAAAGAATTCATTCAAAATATGAGAACAGACGTCAAAATCGCGATTTTTCCTATCCCAATTGCATATTGATTGGGATTCGGTATTTTCAAGCAAAATTGGGAGAATCCCGGGGAGATCGAGATGGTTAGACTGTCTGGACGAGATTCTTCTCAGGAAACACTGGATATCTTATTTTTCCCATTCCACTGATCATGTCTGACAAAAGATAAACGTTCCCCTTTTTTCGTCTCTAACTTGCTGTAGTCATCATTTTTCTGACAAACCTTAGACAATCAGACATCTAAAATTAGACGTTTGACAACAGACACCTGACTTCAGATGTCTGATAACAGAACCTGACATCAGATGTCTGAGATCAGACACCTGACATCAGCCGTCAGATATCAGACACCTGAAATCGGATGTCTGATATCAAACACCTGAAATCAGACGTCTCACAACAGACGTCTGAAATCAGACACCTTACATCAAACGTCTGATATCATACACCTGAAATCAGACATTTGAAATAAGACGTCTAAAATCAGACACCTGACATCAGACATATGATATCACACACCTGAATTCAGACGTCTGACAGCAGACTTCTGATATCAGACTTCTGACAAAAGAGATCTGAAGTCACACATCTGTGTCTGATTTCAGACGTCTGTTGTCAGGAGTTCGATATCAGACGTCTGATGTCAGGTGTCTGATTTCAGATGTCTGATGTCAGACGTCTGATTTCAGGTGTTTGATATCAGACGTCTGATGTCAGGTCTGATGTCAGGTGTCTGTTGTCAAACATCTAATTTCAGATGTCTGTTGTCAGACGTCTGACTTCAGGTGTTTGATATGAGACGTCTGATGTCAGGTTCTGTTCTCAGACGTCTGATTTAAGGTGTTTGATACCAGACGTCTGACTTCAGGTGTTTGATATCAGACGTCTGATGTCAGGTTCTGTTATCAGACGTCTGATGTTAGGTTCTGTTATCAGACGTCTGATGTCAGGTGTCTGTTGTCAAACGTCTAATTTCAGATGTCTGATTTCAGATGTCTGTTGTCAGACGTCTGACTTCAGGTGTTTGATATGAGACGTCTGATGTCAGGTTCTGTTATCAGACATCTGATGTCAGGTGTCTGTGGTCAAACGTCTAATTTCAGATGTCTGATTTCAGATGTCTGTTGTCAGACGTCTGACTTCAGGTGTTTGATATGAGACGTCTGATGTCAGGTTCTGTTATCAGACGTCTGATGTCAGGTGTCTGTTCTCAGATGTCTGATTTCAGGTGTCTGATATCAGACGTCTGATGTCAGCTGTCTGATGTCAGACGTCTGATGTCAGGTGTCTGTTGTCAAACCTCTCATTTGAGATGTCTGATTTTAGATGTCTGTTGTCAGAGAAACAGAGAAACTCGAAACTTCTCAAAGAATGTACGTGCTCATTAACGTTTTTGCCACCCAGCAATTTCGCAGATTTCGATGGCATACAAGGAGATGAAAATTGCACAAAATTCTCAAATAAACCAACACTTTTGAACAAATTTAATGCACTGTCATCCTCATATCAAACAAGTTACCAGCTTGTGTGTAAAAAGTAATAAGTATTATTATTGTTGTTTCCTAATTTTTTTGACCTTTACCTTTCACATAGGGTCATTGAAGGAATTGTCCGCAGTTTGAACAACTTATTGGAGCAGTTCCATCAATCATTCTTCTTCTATCTCCTTCCTGAGTCTCATAGATACGTGTCTATAGGTCTATACATGCCTCCATTTGGTTGTCTTCTAATCGGCCCTGTTATCATGGCAATAACTCTCTGGACTTTAGCAGGGACTGGACCAGAACATGAACCAAAGGCAGACACCCCACAAGTGGGTGGGGCGACTGAGGAGAGATCTGAGCAAGGAGAGACCGGGGTAGAAAGCGCTGAGGAAAAAAGTGAACCTTATGAAGCAGACAAGGTTGAGGTGGAGGATAAGGTTTGTTTAAACATTATTTTTAAGCTCTAATATCCACATCCCAATTCTCCATACCGAACTCTTTAAATTTCTTTGAAGAACTAGTTGAGAGAATTTGTTCAAAGATCAAAGCATTTTCACTTAGGTGATCACTTTATCAATTCTCATTACCTTTTCCATAGATTATGCATTGACATTGTTAGGAGAAATTGATGTTGGTCACTATGAATGAAGTGCTTCGTCGTAGGCTAGGGCACAAGAGGTTTTCTATTCTTTATCCACACTTTATTCAACAACATATAGTACCAGGAGCCCATCACCCGGAGCGAGCAACTTCCATGCGCTCGTGTCACGGCGTTTTTACGGACCAGTTTTATTTTTAGAACGGTTTTGGCGCGAGTTTCTAGTTGAATATCTTTTAAGTTCCACAAACCAGTCAGCAAAATCTACAGACCTAAAAATGATATTTTTTGCCTTTTAACAACATTTAGTTTTCCTCTTATATCTTATACTTCGAATGCGCTCATAGACTTGGTGGAGATTCTATTTCGCGGGTAAAAGTGCCCTAAAATGTGTCTAAAAATAAACTGGTCCGTAAAAACGCCGTGACAGAGGCCTAGTATGGGAGTTGGTCGCTCCGGGTTATGGGCTCCTGACAGTACAAAGAAGTACAAAAACCCAGTGTTGAAAAGGGAAAGAATCCTAAATGTGCACTGCAGCACCGTCACCACCGGAGGAAACCCCAAACTACCTGAAGCCCTCAAAAATGTAGAAAAGAAATTCAAAACTTAGCTTGAAATCTAGAAGCCTTTGCCTTATTTAACCAAATCCGCAACAGAGGATGTTTCTCTGATATCACGAGGGAGACGATTCCATTCTGCAACTATTCTGTTCATGAAACTAAATTGAAATAAATTAGTCCTTGAATAGCAGGCCATACTTCTCAGTACACATCCCCTATTAACATTCTCAGAAAGCTAACTCCAGCTCCCGTCAATAAACAACTTTTGCAAACTCTTATTCAATTTGGCACAGACGAACACTTATTTTAACGCAAAATCAATAATTTTCAAGAGCTTTTTAGGGGTTTTCGCGAGCAAACAGTTTATATGTTAACATTGAATTTACAGGTTTTTTTCTTACGACATCCTCCCAACATGGGAATTGTAGTTCCTGTTGTCATGGCAACGCAAATTGCCGGCGTGTTGGTATTTTACTCTCCTGATCTCGGTTAAAAACTGGGTAAAGTTACAGGGATGGACCCATTGCAGTCGGCCTATGCTGCAATGGCTGGTTCCTTTCTTTCATTAGTGCTGCTCCCTTTGAACAGAAGGTAGACGTTGTGTCTGTTGTGATAAGAGACGACTACAACTACGAAATTTTCTCAATTCTAAGCAGTGCGCGCGCGAACCAGCGTCATTTTGGCGGGAAAACGTGATAGCCGTCCTCATTCTACTGCGATTTTAAGTGATAATAGAGAGCTTTGGATTTGAGGACGAGAACGAGTATGAGTACGAGATTTAACTTTAACTTTTTGCGCGTGTTCTCAAAAAAAAAAAGACATCCTGGAAAGCTTCATTTTGATAACTTGTTGCCGCCACTACGACATTCTCGCTAAACTTTTAGTAGAATGACGACGGCTACGTTTTCCCGCCAAAATGACGCTGGTTCACGCGTGAGCAATACTCAGTATTGAGAAAATCTCGTGGTCGCAGTCGTCCACGTCTCAGAGTCTAGAGCTCTCTAATGTCGTAGTGGCGGAAACAAGTTAACAAATGTTAGAAGTTTTATCATTTTGCGATCGAGAGAGGGCTTAATCTCCTTCAACAAAAGTAAGAGAGCTAACGTTTCTGGTGAAAAAAGGAAAAACGGAGTGAGGGAGTCTCTGTTTTTCCTTTGTCGGGGGGAGGGTGCGGCTACACGTAGGCTATTGAAGAAGGAGATCATTTGGTAATTATTTTACTCAATCACAGTAAAAGTAGACAATTCGTTGAACCAATGAGAACACGAAGCTAATACATAAAGCCTGTGTAAACCGCGGGAAAATACATATGACAAAGTCGCGATTGGCTTTCATTCTTCTTTTGATTAGCTGAAAAAAATTACAGCGAAGTTTTAGCCAAAATAAGACGATGTATAAATAATATTTAATTACGGTGGAATCCGGTTAATATGGACACGGAGTATTGTTCTTGAAACACGACAATCGAATCCACGACTTTTCTTAGTTAGGTACTGACAGTTTTAGTTTGCGAGTCAGGTGGACAGAACCTTTAAAAGGTCATTCGCCGTTCCTGTCAGGTTTTTTCTAGTAAGATATCCAGTCATGGACAGTGCTTAGATAAACAGTGTCTGTAAAGCTGGGCTGACGATATGTGGGAGTTTGTGACTCGGGATATGGGCAATATCGGGCTATCGTTGTCCGTTTTAACCGGTGTCCGTAAATAGGGGGTTAATCTAAGAGAAAATGAATGAGCTGTTGGTCGGGACAAACGAAATTGTCAGTTATATACGGGTGTTCGCATTAAGTGGGTGTCTGTAGAGCAGGGTTCCAGTGTATCTAAGACTGATTTCATTTCTCTCTTTCCTTTATCAAGGTATTCTCGTGATACGGACTCCGGTGATGTGAACTCGAGAAACCATCACATGCTCAAGTGTGGAGCGTTAATTCTGTTTTCTGTTCTCTTGGGAGCCATGGCTGCTATGAACTTCTCTCTTGCTTTCTTTGTGGCTATGTTTCATGTTCCTGTGTACTTATTCGTGACTCCTACCCCTAGTAGGTAAGTTGGACGGGCCTCATCCTCCTTACTTCGGATCATTATACGTCTTTGGGAAACTCACCACCTACCCCTCCCCTAAGCCAACAGTAACGCGTACTCCTCAGTTAGGGGGTTAATGTTGACTTAGGGGAGGGGTAGGTGGGCAGCAAGAACAGGCGGACACCTCTACTCATTTTAGGGAGCTTAGGCAACGACGACGGCGAAGTCAACGAGAACGGCAAAGAAGGAATAGATTTAATTAGCAAAACAACAACTTTGCACGTGCATCATGCTTTTTTGTACATTTCTCTCCCGTCGATGCACGAATACGACGTGAAAATGCCTATTTTCACGTTTTGTGGAGGACGTGAACACAATACAACGACTTTCTTTTTCTTTTCTTGAACTTCGATACAGTCCATTAGAATTCAACCCCGGAAAAAACTGCCAACATTTGGCGAATTGAACGCGAAGGAATAAAGCGCGACAAAGTTTGAAGCAGCGCAACTTTACTTTTTAACTGACGTTTTCGTAGCCGTCGCCGTCGTTGTTGCTTAAGCTGCCTAATGATAATTTGAGGGCTGTGGCAGAATTAGCCTGCGAATACATTGTCTCTCCTCGCTCCAAGCCGGTACGGACTTTTCTAGCGGCGAGTAGCGATTAGAGACGGTTATATAAGCAGGTTATAGGAGAATTGAAAATTACCATATTTCGATTTGTAATAGCAATGTTTTATCAATCAGGGTGGTCATTAGAATTAATTATAAGTATATGACTAGCCTGCAGTGCAGGCGTTTTCTTTGAGCGCGATATTTGCTCGCGAAAGTGCCATGTTGAAACTTCCCGAAGAGAGGTTACTATTTCTACTCTCCCCAATCTTCCACTGTCATAAAATCAAAGATGGCGGCTACAACAATATTACGAACACGAACAAGGTTTCGCCCACCCAAAATACGCCTGCACTGCAGGCTAGTATATGACCACTCAGGATTATTTCTCAATCAAGAAATATCAAATAATTCTCCTCGCCGCCTCTATTAAAAAAAGTAGGGGATTAGAAAGGAGAATTTTTATTTTGGTATTAAGCCAAAGGGTTAAAAGGATAATCTAACGACATTCTTCATAAGAATAAAGCCGATTTGATACCATAACGTTTTCTTGATAAGAAAATTTATAAGGGGGAAGTTCTTTACTATTTAAGGGAAAAGTTCTTGCATCTTCCCTTTTACACGAGCACACGCCAACAGGCGGCTACTTATTGATGTGTTGAATGTTTTCCGACTTTGGCATCCATTTTGAATTTTGTGGTCAGCTGTAAATATTGTAAATATCTTATTATCCACTCCCCACAGGGCTTTTCAGGGATAATTTACAACACTGGTTGGGGGACTTTGCCAGACTGCTTAAGGTGCAGTTTACAAGTACTGAAGGAATGAATGATGATGCCCCCATACATGAGTGTGAAAGTGAGATAGACCACTACGCCGGGCACTACGTGCCCTACTCTTTACGAAGAGTGTGTGGGTTCTTTAACGTCCCACAGGTTTATTACATGTGCAAGAGCTTGTGAGACGGGGCCTACGGTTTATCGTCCTTATCCGAGAGCTACTGCCAGGTTTGGAAACGAAAAATCTTCGGAGCCCCTCATATTAGTTATTCTCGGGAAACGATCGGATTTTCCAATGTTTTCCGAATTTCCAACTGTCCCAGACCCTCAAAATTCTCGGTTGCAGTCTTCCCACCAGCTGCCCGAAAAATTCAAAATGGCGGTCAAAGAAAATACTTTCCACGCATCGATAAGTAGCCCCCTGTAATAAAGTACTCTTTATTCAATTATAATAATCTTATTAGATGTATGAGCCCACAGTGTACTCCTAGTACATAATGGCTCTGCATCTCAATCTTATTTTCTGCGTTTGCAGAACTCGTCGCCTCCTGCAGGCTCTTCTGCTACTCCTGGTATCTCCACCAATGGTTCTCTTGCTGCTGTTACTAGGATACAACACACTCACGGCGGGGATCGACGCCGATTTCGCCTCTGTTCTATCAGCCACTCTCATCACATTCCATCAAGCCGTGACCTCATCAATCCGAGAAGCCCACTTGTTAGGCACGTGGTCATACGCTATGACGTGTCTCGGTGTTTTGCCAAACTGGCTCATGTTTTGGTGTTTAGCGTGGTATTGAGTACTTGGAAAAGACACTTTAGACATTTTATCAAATTGTGTTTTATTTTTTTGGAGGTTGCGATGGTTTCGCGATCAGTGCGTTACAATAAGGTCGCTTATAGCACTTGTAATTGCGTGTAGCTAACCGGTCAAGTTGCCCGATATTTTGTCAGGTGTACCACACAGAAAAATAGAGTTCACTAAAGAGTGTGTAATATATCTCGTTCTTTAAACCACCAGGAGACCACACAAGAGGGATGTTGTTTAGTATGATAAAATTTTGGACGACGTAACTCTGATTACGGGCGACATAACATTGGGAGAGATGACTTTCGGGTGACTTGAACGCCTAATTGCGTTCTTACCGTCGTGTTATTTCTCTTTTGACTAGAAAATTTACTCTTTTATCTTTTTCAACTCCTTGGTTGTTCAACGCAGACCGCAGGCTGCCTTGTTAAAAAGGCAGTCTGTCTAGCAAGTTTCCGGAGCTTCATCTTTCATAAGACGACACGAGTCCGACTTATCAAAGGCGCGTAACCAGGCTTTTTTCGCGCAAACTGTGCAAACACTTGCCCGGTTCATGTGTGTACACGACTCGATATCATTTTCTGATCAGCTCAAGAAACGCTTCGGGATTCCGCAGGTCCCGTGTAAACGAAAGGCGGATATGTGCAAGTTTTTGTCCGTTCAAAATTTTGTCCGGACCCGTATAAACTAAAACGGTGTCTCAGTTTCAGGAAATTCAGCTTCATTTAGCATATTTAGCGAGTTGCCATGAACGCGAAGGACTGAGGCCTAAAGAATGCGGAATCATTTTACTAATCGCGCTGTATTTGTTTCTAAACCTTCCTGTTAGAAGAAATGAGAAAGACGCGTCTGTGGACCATCGCTTTATTCAGAGAGATAATTTTTTTTCTTACTTGCTTTACGATACAACGTGCTAAATTTGAACTTTAAACATCATGTAGCGGTTCTTTTTATAACAGTATAAGTTTTAGATAGGTTTCTTTAGTTTCTTGGTGACATGTTTATAAGCAACCACAACATAAACTACACAAATTCTTAGGTATCTTTGTATGTAAGGATCGGAATAACAAGACAAACGTCGTGCTTCTGCTGTGCTAAGCTGGCTCGACTGTAGCTCGACGGCAGCACGACACTAGCACGACTTGGTTTCAGACATCGAATTTAATTCAGTCGAATAGAACGGCTGTTGCCGAAAACAAAACACAAAAACAAAGAAAGGGTTTAGAAAACTTTTTAATTTATCCTCATGTATTTATAATTCATGAATTGTGTTCGGCACGGCAGTAGCGCGACGTTTGAAACCAAGTCGAGCTACTGCCGTGTAGCACGGCAAAGCTTGCCGTGCTACACGGGAGTAGCACGGCTTGGTTTCAAACGTCGCGCTACTGCCGTGCGAAAGTCGAATTTAATTCGATCAATTTAGTTCGGCACGGTAGTAGCACGACGTAACGGGCCTAAGGTAGCTAGGAATAAAGTACAGTACTTTGCCATGGCTTTTTCCTCTTTTCAAGTCAAAGTTGTCAAGTAAAATTTTCATTTTTACTTGTTATTGTCCAGCAAGTTTTCTTCACTAAGTCTTTTCATGACACATGAAAATTATCACTTTTTCATCTATACTACCACGAAGTTTTGACGGCAAAACTTGTTAAGATCAGTTTGCTAGTGGAACCTAAAGAAAAATGCATTGCTGGCCTTGTGCTGACCCAATACGATTTTTTTATTTGTAGGAACAATTAATTATTTCTAAGTTAAAACTTAGAAATAATTAATTAATTATAGCTCAATTATATTTTTCAATTGTACCCTTTCTAGAGGAAAAGTTTTGAACTGACAGATGTGATTTTCTTGGGTTTACCGAAATGTCATTGAAAATGCTTGAACGAAAAGGTCTATAAACGATCCTTAAAGTTGTCTTGTCGACGATAACCGAAAAGTTTTCCGTTATAACACAATTGTTTTGTTTTAACTGAAGCTTCATGGTACGAAAAACATCTCACCTTGCGAGTTCACCTAAAGACTCACACTTCGTCTCGGGTCAGTTGGACACACTGTTCTTTACAAAACAAAGGTTTTTGTACTAGACTCATGAATTCAAGTCGGGTTGCCCGAGGATAATTCTTCGTTTTTTATTATACAGGCGTGAGAGGTCGGGAGTTATGCAAGAATGATCAGCTGGAGTTTTTAATATAAGAGTAATGATGAAATATTAGTTTCTTAACGCCGGTTATCCGGTCTTTTAAGCTGAAACACAAGAGCAAATCAAAAACGATCTCTCTGACGTGAGAAATTCAAAGGCACGCGTACGTCCTCAACAGAATGGGCAAATTATGGAGGAAAACATTAAGAAAAAATCAAACTTTCCTCTTTGCTTTGCCCATGGAAACTCCCATAGATCTAGCTCCTTTTTTCTGAACAAATCGTGACAGGCTTCGAATTGAAACCAATAAAGATAATCTATCAACTACGGTTCAGAGCAAGTAATGAAAGTGCTTTGCATTGTGTTGCTCTAAAAAGTGTCTCATCAGTTTTGCCGAAATATCGCACCTTTTATCGCGTCGCTTACTTCGTTTATAATTAGAAGTGGGTTTTGTCCGGGCAAAATGAGACCCTTGGGGCCAGAAATGTGATAAAGCACGCCATCTTAATAACTGTCGTCGCTTTTTAAAATGTTTCGAGGGAATAGCTTGAAAGTTAGTTTTACAGTGGACTTTATTTACCCTAGAGATGCGAGGGAGCAAACCACGCGAATTAAAGCACAAAATATCGCCTCGCGCAAGAAAGCTCTGACATACTGGGGGTGACATTCCACGCACTCAAGTTTTACGCTTAAAATTTTAGAGGAACTATTTCTGACAACTGTTTAAAAGTTAAAAGTATCTTTAGCAAAGGGCTGGTGGTAAAGAATAGGCCGTCTTTCGAATTTGATAGTTATTTAGCCTGTTCCAGTCTCTCATATACTGGGGAAGACGCGAAAGTGAGAGGCACGCGAAAAGTTGGTCTTCCGGTTTTTTTTTCTTCTTGTTTCCGCTTTCTCAATTCAGTAGACCCGACTATCTTGGAGTCTGGAACAGGGTAATAGTTATTTGGAAAAAAAATCGTTCAAAGAAACCATGATTTATTTTGGTCTGCTCATATCTAGCTATATCTCGGAGAATGAACTGGTTCATGCGTTTAGCTGTTTTGAAATAAATAATATGACTGCCCATAAAAAGTGAATCTCGCAGCACTTTCGTTAAAAAAATTCTTTTTATATAACATTACTTGACTGGAAACATTTCTGATTGGAAACAATTCCTCTGTTAAAATCCTCGTTTTAAAAGCAGAGTTAATTTCAAGCAATTACTTTTGATTAAGTAGCTAAACACAGTTTAAATAGCTCCAGAATTTTTTAAGCACACTCAACTGATCATTTCGCTTTTGACTTGACGATATTGATGTAATTGCTTTGTTTTGCAGTTTATTGTGAGAAAAAGTCTCACCTCTAGAAGTAGGATAACAAACTCGCACCTTGTCTCGCGTGGGCAAGTTTTAAATAAAAGAACCGGCTGTCTTTTGTTGCTGCGGAGCGACCGAAGGGAGCGAGCAGCAACATAATCAGGATTTAAAGGAAATATATAAGGGGGGACGAATTCTCGAATTCATCACTTTTTACCACAATGCATTGCATTTAACCACACTTTTTACCACAATGCATTGCATTTAACCAGAGTGCATTGCGCCACGAACAACTCAAATAAAAACATGGGGAAGTTCGGTGGGTGAGAGTGCATCGTTCGCTGCTTAGACTTAGAGTTTTCTTTGTGGCAAATTTCTACAGCACGGTTAGAGGTCTTACCGAACTTTAAGATACGCAGGAGTCTTTCAGATGAGTACGATGGTTAACTTGGGGATTGGATTTCAATTCAAGAGCCTTTGACTCGTCCTGGTAGTAAACCTGACGAGAAGATGAGCATTTGCTCTTCGACTCCGCAACACGGGGGATATACAAATTCCAGCTTGCTAGAAGGTGATGTGAAAGTGAGAAAATGTCATGCAATGCTATTCTTAAGAAACTGTATGAGCCGAAAATGGATGTGATTTTGACATTCGCTTCAAAATAACAGCGGAAATCGAGATAACAAAACATATGTTTTGTGTCCTACTTTGCAGACGAGGTCGTGTATCGGCGTTTTGAAAAGCATAATTATGTTCTTTCATTCATTCATTGCCATGGAAGATGCGTTTACATTGTTTTTTCACTGTTAATAGCTCGGTTAATGCGGCCGGCGATCATCTTGCCGGCGGAAGTTTCATGGAAAAGGAATAAAATGAAAGACTTTTACTACAGATTACGTAATCAGCCACTGCGGTGTGGTGGCTAGGTGTAGTCGCGTCGAGTCGTAGGTGCTGGGTTCGAATCCTACCGATTTATTTATTCCTACTTTCTTTTTTTTCCCGTTTCTTTGTGTTGTTGTTTTCTATAAATATATAGCTAAATAACTGTGACCTAATAAAGTGTAACAAACAGCAAGAAAAGTATTGTGTTTCGAGAGAAAATATCGTGCACCGTATATTAAATATATGGATAAACAATCTGAATTTCTATTATTTCCTACAATTTACTGTGGGAAAACCAGAGTTGATAACCACTTGATCATTTTCTAAACAACGTTCCCACGAGTTCTTTCTATAGACTGATAGTAATTATTCTAATACTTGCCAACATGTAAATAGGACATTCAATGTCATTTTCGATTCTTTTAAGTCTCACTGCCCAACTAATGCCAGTATCAACAGAATGTGCCGCAGCATTACTATCTTTTAGATACTCTAGTTGTAGCGTTTAATTAGTGAATGCAAATGTTTACGCCTTTTGTGAAGCTTAGAGTTTATAATGGGCACGCTTACACTAGCGCTTCACTTGACGGCTCAACTTGCAAAGATAGAGTATTACACTAGCGTTCATCATGAAGTTTTACACGATGCTGTCACTATGCGTTTTGGGTTTGGCCGTTGCTCAACAAGTATCCAGCAGTAGGTAAGGGGAATGTTCTACTTTAGCCACCTAGAAGTGTGAATCGGCAAACAAACGTGTAAGGATGCCTTTTCGACAGAAATTTGCGAATTATAGGGGACAATTCTTGTGCCTGAAATTTGAAGGGGAAAGCCTCGTACACAAGTAATTTTGTTGTTTTTTGGCATCCGTGTTAAGATTATTTTCTCAAATATGAGCATAGATGTGTATACAACTCCAATAGTAAGGTGTTTACAACAATTCAAAAAATTTGATGCCGATATCAGTAAAACTGAGGCGCGAAAACGAGCGAATCTCTGTGATTTATTCTTAATGTACCCTGCGTATTGCTTGTGACATAATGCGTATCTTTCAAAACTTTCCTTTGTCGTAGATAGTTTCGCAGATCATCTGTTTCTTGCGTCACTCTGATTTCTAGCAGATGTTTTAAACTTTTTACCCAAATCGAGTCAACCATTTCACACGTAGATGTGTTCTCTGATTTTGCTTCCAAAGAGCGGATTTGGCGTGAAGCTTTTTTCGTACTTAGGTTTTAAGGCAGGTTGGACCGCGAGACTGGCGCATGAACGAGAAGAATTTTTGGCGAAATTTTGGCGCTTTTTACACGTAATTTGGGAAGCAAAGATCACGTTTTCAAGAATTATGCAAAGAAGGGAAACTGAGTGTCCCGTTATTTGCTCCGCGTTTGACTTTATGAAGGACAAATGGGTATCATCAAAGTTAGAGTTCTTTGAAATTTGTTTTAGTCTTTATCAGCGTAGTGACCTGTAACTTAATTTGTTTCAGATCCAGTGGCCTGGACAGTACTCTTCGACAAAAGGTAAGTTTGTAAATAAATGATATTGAACTCCAAAGGCATCTGATCAAGAACTAGCTCACAAATAGCCTCTTCAGCGCTCCCTCTTTCTCTTCAGTTGAATTTTGTTTTTGAACAGCTCTGCCTGATATTGACTACAGTAATCTCGCTTCACACCGGTTTCGCTGTGTCCAATTCACTATGTTCGAGTTCGTTACCTACATACTAGGCTAGATTGAGGTGTTATTTAAAACAGTTTGCGGAAAGCCTAATATTTAGCGAACCGGTGTTGCGAACTGGGAGGTAGCGAATTCACTTGGTTCACATTGGTCGATAGATTTTTGATTGTTTAATACGTTATCACCCTTTGAAGTCGAGTTAACACTATTACTTCGCATAGTTTAGTTATATTGGAACGAGGAATATTCATGCCGTATCAGTGTTTTTCGTGTTCGCGCGCTAAATATAATTCAAGTTATCGAAGTTGTTGAAGAGTCTCATTGCTTGTGATTTTCTTCGAGTAAATTATTACATATAAAACAAATCTGTTCAGTTATTACATTACATTATTAGATTATATCGTGTACTAATTATTACCTTGTAAATTTTTTTTTTTAGAATTATCCCTTGTTACTGAGCATTGTGAGAGAAGGAGGACGCCGCGGGTTGACGGAATGTCGACGACAATTTAAGACAGAGATTTGGAATTGTTCCCTTGGAAACAAGAGAGTGTATACACAGTTGCCCATCTTCGTTAACACAGCACTTCCTTATGGTAAGTTCATGTTTCATCGTTGTAGTGCGTAAAAATGATGCTTAGTTTAGGACAAAAAAGGCGCAATTTGGTTCGCAACAAAAACTTTGAAGTTTGTCTCTTGCATTTGAAGCACCTTTTCACGAGTAAACGGAATTAATAACAGTCTTTTCCATGACTTGTAAGTCCAAAAAGTTAGTTTTTGGACTGAAGACGTTTATATCATTTTATGCCAGAATATCGTTGTTTTCCAAAAAGAAATACAAGTGGTTTCATTTCTAATGTTTACCCGATGTTTCGGGAGACGCATGCGCAAATGAACATAATCTCATAAGCAACCAATCTTTTGGTGATCTGGCTACTTAAGATCTTTTGTGCCTAGCTACCACGTATCTTTTGAAGAGGTGGCTCTTTAAATTAGGCGAAGCAGTTGAAAAAGTTTAAAAGTGCGGGTTCTTGAATTGTTTATTATATCCATAAGAAATGAATGGTAATTCTTGCGGTCTGTTTGCTCTCATCAATGTGACTTCTTCACGAATCGCCAAGATTTTTGCTCAACAACAAAATGCATTGTTGTTGTTTTTGCTCCAAATCGTTTCATTTCCGTTTTAGATGAAATAAGATGTAAAAACGTTCCGCTTATTTTTTGCACCAGCTAGTGGATCAATAAAAATGTTGATACTTACTAAAATTCTGTATCCAGTGACGGATTTCAAAATGTTTGTAGTGAAAGTTGCGTGTCATTCACTATTGGTCTAAAATCATACTGTAGTTTGATTCTCAATAGAACCTTCTGCGCGCTCGTTCGGTTTTGAAATCACGGGTATAGTTTCAGACCAAATTGTACTTTACTTAATTACATTATCATTATGCACATTTCTTTAATTACAGCCACGAAGGAAACAGCTTTCCTTCACGCCATCAGCAGCGCTGCAATCACCCACGAGATAACGCTCCAATGTGCTCGGAACAAAATTCCTGGCTGCAGATGCGGGAAAACGAAATCAAGGAAGCGTGGAAACGCTGACTGGCAGTGGGGCGGATGCAGCGACAACATCAAATACGGCGAGAAAGAGACAAGACGCTTCATCGACAAACTAGAGAAAGGAAATGACGCACGTACAGCATTCAACCTGCATAATAATCATTTGGGAAGAAAGGTAGGCTGGTAGCTTGAAATTATCTAATAAAAAGTTAAGAGACGGTTGCTGGGAAAAAGTGTTAAATTTTTAATTTCCTTTCCGAGAATCCGTAGACGGCTTTAAGTTAATGAGGAGTTTGGTGCATAATAATAGCACAGAACGGGTGATCCTTGCGATCTGTTTGCTCTCATCAATGTGATTTATTCACGAATCGTCAAAATTTTTGCTCGAAATCGCTTCATTTCTATTTGAGATGAAATGAGATCAAAAGCGTCCCGTATATTTTCAAACGGGCAAGTGGTTCAATTCCACAAAAAAATCATGCTGTATAACTTAGTTTGCGGAGCTGATGGTTTTCGCGCGTTTTGTCTTAACAGGCTGTTCGCGCAAGTCTCCAGAGGAACTGTAAATGCCATGGCGTCACCGGAAGTTGTAACTTGAAGACATGCTGGAAGCAGCTTGCCCCGTTTGAGATCGTGGGATCAGCGTTAAAGCAGAAATATCGCGCAGCGACTCAGGTGACGTTCCTAAACAACAAACTTCAAGAGCGAGACAACCGCAACCGCTACAGTCAGGTAACAAGAAAAGACCTCAAGCTGGTTTATCTTGACTCATCCCCAGACTACTGCGTTCGAAACATGACCGTGGGCTCTGCTGGAATGCTGAGAAGGACATGTAGAAGTGACATTGTGTCCAATGGACAATGCCGATCGCTTTGCAATTCTTGTAACCTAAGGCACCGCACAGAAGAACATTCCAAACAGGTTAAGTGCAGAAGTAAGTTTGTATGGTGCTGTGCCGTTAAATGTAAGCTTTGCACTGAAAAGTATTCGCTCACAACTTGTGTTTAG